GATCTTTAAGAGAGAGTTATAATCTCGTTTGTCTGTTTGATTATCATGCAACTTTATTGAATGTCGTCTTACATGAAGTTCAACCTAGTTGTGGGGGATCTAAAACTTCTAAAAACTACCCAATAATAAGTACAGATGCTCTTCAGGTCGGTTTCCTCTCTTCGTTAACGTAAAAAAATCAATTTAATTTCAAACAAATCATTCAGATATTACAACCTATAGTCATCGATTATCTTTCGCTACATTTGTATATAGTTAATTTTTCATAATATATTTTAATTGTTATGATCTGAGAGTTACTTATAAAAACATTAATTCCTGTTTCGAGGATTTTTGCAAAGGAATTGACGACATTATCATATTTTCCAGGAATGTTCGAAAACAAGTTGCAAGCTAAATATTATTTTTAAAAATAAAATCAAAACATATTATAAAAAATCAACTATATACAAATGATGCGAAAGATAATCGATGACTATAGGTTGTAATATCTGACTGATTTGTTTGAAATTAAATAGATTTTTTTATGGTCTAAGTATATGTTGCATCTTTCTGAATTTGTATGGACACTACGTTCTTCGGTATAAGTCGTTTTTAACAATTTTCTCCTTATAGACGCAACAGATAGAAGTAAGATTTGTAGCGATCAAAAGCGCTTTTTTATCGCATTAAGCCTATACCCCCTTTCATTTTTTGCGAACACTCCCTTTAATATGTGTAGAAAAGAAAAGGTTTTTATGATTTAAAGGGACCGTTCACTTATTTGGGTAATATCGGGGTAAACTATAAAAAAGCTTATTAGCTATTGATTAGTATTGGTCTTACTTTTCCAAGACAACTGTGGCCGGAGAAAAAGCCAATTCTTCGTTCAGAATTCGAGCGCAAAGGGACAGTCTCTTTGTCAATAAACTTTTTGATGTTTTTTGTCGATGTCATAGATTTAAAAAAAAATTGAATATAAAATCAAACTGCAGTTTTTTTTTATAAAATTGCTATTTCTACCATAACATTTTTTAGCGCATTGAACATTTTGTATTGCACTTCTGTAAAATGCTGAATAGAACGCGGCATGAAAAATGCAAGGTTGTGCGCATATTGAAACGGGATTATAAATTATATTTGGGTAGTTGATAATAAATTAGACAACTATTTGAGGGGTGTCATCATCCAAGGGGGGGGGGGCGGAACTAGGATTTTCGATCTTTCTGGCAATAACAGAAATCGGTTGGAAAACTAGCTTCTATGTATGGAGAGAAAAGAATAGAGAGCGGTTCTCCCATCCTGCTCCAAAAGTTTTAATAATAAACAATTTCGGATTAGTCACAATTGCATCATTGTAAGTAAAGGTGTACATTTTATTTATATCGAACGCAGAGTTGAAGCTACGAACCGAAATTGCGTAATAATTAATTGATTGTCGTAGAGAACGTCGTCTTTGTATATACTTTTTACACGTTTTTATACGAAAAACGTAAATTTATTGCTAACTTAAATATCAAAAGTTATCATATTTTTGTATATAATAACTAACACATAATGGCATTGAAGTATGCTAAATTAAAATTTTGTTGGGGCTGTTGTTGCTGAAAAACGTCGAGAAGTGTTTCAGAAAAAGGGATCGGCTTTTTCTCCGACCACAGTTGTCTTTGAAAAGTAAGATTAATAGCTTATCGGCTGTTTGGTTTACCATGAAATTACCCAAATAAGTGAACGGTCCCTTTATGTGGGAAAGTATAAAGAACTACTAAGATGTTCCCATGTACGAAAATAAGTTTTTCAAATTATTAAACAATTCCTGTTTTTAACACTTTATTGTCACAATATTGGGTTCACTCTACGAAAGTTAAGTGTTGATTGAATTGATTAATCTGGAAAACCACTGACCGCCCGCTAGACACCCACCCCCTCCCCCTATATTTACCCCCTTTAATAACTCTCTCTTTCAAACTTTTTATTGAAACAATAAAGGTACAGATCTGAGAAAATTGTGTAATAATGATAAAAAACACACGAATATTCATTTATATATATACAAAAATGCTTCTCGCAAATTACTCTCTAATTTAAGGTATGGAATTTAAACTAGTAAAGACTTAACAACTCTGAGATCTGGAATAAGATCCTACATGAAATGAAAAAGGACCTCTCTTTTTGAATATAATAGAAAATAGAAAAAGACTTCTCGTCTAGGGTAAAAAAAGACTTCTCGTCTAATATCATAGGAAGAGGTTAGAAAAAAAATGAGAAAGAATACGAGAAAATATCGAGAAATGCACAAAACATTGGATAGTTAACCAATTTAGAATGTTTATATAGTTTATCAAATAAACACATCCTGTCATTGGACAATTAATAAGCGACGAGTTCTGAAATTTGTCTTACTTCCGCCCCCCCCCCCCTTTTTATTTACAATCAATCATACGATCAACATACATATTAGATGGGCGCGTTCAGTTTTTCATTTCGTTCGTGTTTTTTTATCGTTCAAAATTATTGATTTTGTTCGTTTTCTCACTGAACGATTGTTTAATAAAATAACTGGTTCAGTAATATCGTTCTTTTATGTGAAAAACTATCGTTTCTCAAAAGTTAAAAAAATCGTTCGTTTAGTAATACAAAACTATCGTTTTATCAAAACATTAATAAAAATCGTTCGTTCAGTGAAAAAACGAATAGCTTTTTTTCTAGATCTTTCAACCGAATTGAATTAAATAAGCATATTTCACATATAACGTTAACGTTGGACGTTAACCTTATATAGAATATATTCAAACGTTTCCTATAACTGTAACGTAGCGTACAAAAACGTAAATTTTATGTTACGTTACATTATCGTTGACAACTCTACTTCCTATATTTGCTCTACTCATATTTGTGCATAAAATTATAACAGTGGATGTGGAGGTAAGAGGTCACAAAGTCGTACCAGCAAATCTTTTATGAGTTAAAAATACAAAAGGTTTACACCACCAGGTTTCAAAGATATAGGGATTAGAAAACTTGGGTTTGTTGCAAAAACTTAGTTCTTTTTATAAATGTTAAGATGTTCTTTTTCATCTTAATTAAAATTCAAAGAAGACGACATTTCTTCAAGGCAGAGTTAGTGAGTTTCTCTCAGATCCTCTTGTTGAAAGCAACATACAGGGTTACTCACAAAGGATGAGACTTCAGAGACGATTGCACAGAATTTTGTTAGTCCGTTTCTTGCATTCAGGGTATCTTGTCGGCCAAAACATGGCTTATTTCTGTTCCTTTGTGGCCGGGAACTATACATTAGATACTAACATGCTACAATAGTAACCGATCAAAAGCGGAAGTATTGTCGTCTACGTTCTTTAAAAATTCAAAATTCCCGCTTATTAATTATCACTTTAAAAATTGGCTTGATTTAAAGAGATTATTATAGGAGCGCAATTTCAAGGGACACTTCATTCAAAGATGTCAATGTGCGATTTACAAAGGGTAGATGGTAGATGGTATAGAAGGTAGATGGTAGATGGTAGTTGGTAGATGGTAGATGGTAGATGGTAGATGGTAGATGGTAGATGGTAGATGGTAGATGGTATGGTAGATGGTAGTTGGTAGATGGTAGATGGTAGATGGTAGATGGTAGATGGTAGATGGTAGATGGTAGATGGTAGATGGTAGATGGTAGATGGTAGATGGTAGATGGTAGATGGTAGATGGTAGATGGTAGATGGTGGATGGTAGATGGTTGATGGTAGATGGTGGATGGTAGATGGTAGATGGTAGATGGTTGATGGTAGATGGTAGACGGTAGATGGTAGATAGTAGATGGTAGATGGTAGATGGTAGATGGTAGAATGTAGATGGTAGATGGTAGATGGTTGATGGTAGATGGTAGACGTTAGAAGGTAGATGGTAGATGGTAGATGGTAGATGGTAGATGGTATATGGTAGATGGTAGTTGGTAGATGGTAGATGGTAGTTGGTAGATGGTAGAAGGTAGATGGTAGATGGTAGATGGTAGATGGTAGATGGTGGATGGTAGATGGTAGATGGTGGATGGTAGATGGTAGATGGTAGATGGTAGATGGTTGGTGGTAGATGGTAGGTGGTAGATGGTAGATGGTAGATGGTAGATGGTAGATGGTAGATGGTAGGTGGTAGATGGTAGATAGTAGATGGTAGATGGTAGATGTTAGATGGTAGATGGTTGGTGGTAGATGGTAGGTGGTAGATGGTAGATAGTAGATGGTAGATGGTAGATGTTAGATGGTAGATGGTAGATGGTAGATGGTAGTTGGTAGATGGTAGATGGTAGAAGGAAGATGGTAGATAGTAGATGGTAGATGGTAGATGGTAGATGGTAGATGGTAGATGGTGGATGGTAGATGGTAGATGGTAGATGGTAGATGGTTGATGGTAGATGGTAGTATGGTAGTTGGTAGATGGTAGATGGTAGAATGTAGATGGTAGATGGTAGATGGTGGATGGTAGATGGTAGATGGTAGATGGTAGATGGTAGATGGTAGATGGTAGATGGTAGATGGTAGATCTTAGATGGTAGATGGTAGATGGTAGTTGGTAGATGGTAGATGGTAGAAGGTAGATGGTAGATGGTAGATGGTAGATGGTAGATGGTAGTAGATGGTGGTTGGTAGATGGTAGATGGTAGATGGTAGATGGTAGATGGTAAATGGTAGATGGTAGATGGTGGTTGGTAGATGGTAGATTGTAGATGGTAGATGGTGGATGGTAGATGGTAGATGGTAGATGGTAGATGGTGGTAGTAGATGGTAGATGGTATAAACATATTATAAATATTCTGTTAAGAATTAGTTGACAGTACTTTATTGTTTCAGTATGCTTAAAATAAAAGCTTGCATTATTTATCGTATCAAATTTCATCATTTCTTTCAAAAAACACGTTTCAGGTTTATTTTCTGAATCATAATTCTGAATGGCAGAATTTTCTACTCACAAGACTTTCTACGGCTTTCTTCTTTCACACAAAACATAAAAGCCGGCACTACATCTGTTTAGTGTATATAGTAAACTCAGGATACGTTTTAACCTACAAAATACCATTTAATTTCTCTTTAGAAAGATTGAGGGAGAAAGTTGAACATAGAACTTGAACAATATTTGTCTGAAACGAACGTTTGTGTGAATGTAAAAAGTTTAAGAGAGAGTATTCATCCTCTGCTCTTTAACAGCTGCTAGAATAGAAAGCTCTGGGAAATGTGAGAAACCTTTGAAGAAAAAAACTGAAATTTATTCAGTATACTGTTGGATTCCTGGTTCCACGCACTATACTTATATTGATAGTGACTAGCATGGCGTTTGAAAGTTTAAGTAATACTGATTATGCTGTGGTGGCCGGATACTTCATGCTTTGCCTGGGGATTGGGGTTTGGGTATGCAACAATTTATTTAATAACATGTGAAAGACGATTTTACACAAATAGTCAAATTAAGATTCAATATATTAAACCACATAAAATGTCAATAAGTCATTTTGATTTATAATTATTAAAACCAGCTGATTGCATTCCTCTAGCAATATCTAAAATATTAAAAACATTGGTTAATAGCATTTGTTTTTCTGTCTGTCAAATTAAAAATTCGTTAAATACATCCATGATATATTCATGTAATATTGATTTATGTGATATTGTTACAATGTCCGTAGTCCGTACTAGGTCATGTCGCTTATTCTGCTCGTTTCTATTTATAATAAAATAAGTGTCTCATCTGTCGTCTGTAATATTATTGTATAAATTGTCCGAATTATTGTCTTTTTTAATGTCTTACGGTCTAGCTTTAACATTGTCTAGCGTGGTCAGTTGTCAAATTGTCTGTTAATGTTTATGTTATTGCCTGTTTAATATTGTCTAGCGTGGTCAGTTGTCAAATTGTCTGTTAATGTCTATATTATTGCCTGTTTAATATTGTCTAGCGTAGTGAGTTGTCAAATGTCTGTTAATGTCTATATTATTGCCTGTTTAACATTGTCTAGCGTCGTCAGTTGTCAAATTGTCCGTTAATGTCTATGTTATTGCCTGTTTAATTTTGTCTAGCGTGGTCAATCGTCAAATTGTCTGTTATAATGTCTATATTATTTCCGGTTTAATATTGTCTAGCGTGGTCAGTTGTCAAATTGTCTGTTAATATCTATGTTATTGCCTGTTTAATATTGTCTAGCGTGGTCAGTTGTCAAATTGTCTGTTAATATCTATATTATTGCCTCTTTAATATTGTCTAGCGTGGTCAGTCGTCAAATTGTCTGTTAATGTCTATATTATTGTCTGTTTAATATTGTCTTATCAATTATTCTTTAATTTTGCCTGATATTTCTAATATTATTTTTAGTCCATGTTCCGGCCTAATAGGGATACAATAGAGGGGTATTTTCTAGCAGGAAAATATATGTTCTGGCTTCCGGTAACTATTCAACATTACATCTACAAGAAAATGCTAAAAAAAATTGCAATTTGATCATTAACGCTGACCAACCAGAATAATTTAATACATCAAATGATATCTTAATATTGATTATGAATTATGATACAGTGAAACCCTTAATAACGAATACATCGAAAGAATTCAACAAATGTCGTATTCCTCACTTTCTGATAATGGAATGTTGCAGATATTTAGTTTTTTAATTAAATGATTATATGGAACTCTTTAAAACTGTTCCCGAATATTCATGGCAATTTATTTATTTTCGCAAATACTGAAATTTACGTAATATAGTATAAACTCATTGAAAAATTGTCAAGACGACATTTGATAAATTATTCCGATGTATTCGTTATTAAGGGTTTCACTGTTTAAGTACAAAAAGATAAATTTATCTTTAGGAATGTCAATGTTAATAAATGTAGAAAAACAATACTTTGCATAACATTTGTTTGTTTGCAGGCAAAGCTGGGTTTCCAAGCAAGTCATAACACAATATTGCTTGAAAACTTTGAACAAAATTAGACAAGTCTACATTTAAATGTCATTGGGTTGGGCGTATACAGGATGTAATCTAAGGAGAGGGCAAATTTTCTTAATACGCCAAAATGTAGCCCCCCCCCCCCCCCCATTTGTTTAATATCAAGGATTGATATTCTTTAATTTCAAGAGACAAAAATTAGGGGGTTTTTTTTTGGGGGGGGGGGAGTCTGGCGTAGCCCCCTCTTAAATAGTCTTACGGTGGGACATAAAATAGTCTACGCCCCTGGTAAAAACACTTGTTTAGGTCGGAGCATCCCTGTTTGCCAGCAACATTGGAAGTGAGCATTTTATAGGTAAGAAAACCATTAATGGAATTTCAATTAATCTGTCTTCTTGTTTTCAAAAAGCGTCAAAACGGCTGAATCGAGTTGACCTAAAATGGTTTGGACGAAATTGCCCGGAAAATTTTTGACATTATTTCTTTCTTTAATTAATATAAATCCGCTAATTTAATCAGCAAAACTTTATATTTATTGGAAAAATAAATGAACAAATGGTGACTTGAAAAGCAAACAGTTAATAGATAAAAAAAATGTATTCCGTATCAGTAAACTAAATTAACCATTTGAAAATATGTTTTCGTTATAATTGGTCATTTCGTGTTTTGTTAACGTTTATTTTTGAATTTCATTACAGAATTTTTCCGTTAATTTTCCAAAAAAAAATAATATGAGTCCCCTAAGTATCTAGCATCTAAAAAAATGTTACCCCCTTTCAAAATTATATTTTTCCTAAAGAAGTTAGGTAATTTGTAGTTTTTTTTTTGGAGGGGGGGGGTTTATTAGGCTAGGAAAATTATGAATTTTGGGTAAAAAATATCCCAAAAAGTATGAAAAATCTGACTTTTGATGTTCATTTTCCCTCTCGATCAGCAAAAAGCAACCCTCTGCAGATGGCTGCTTAATGTAGACAAGCTAGTCGCGTAAATGACGGCAAGGTCCAGTAAGAAAAAAATGGAATGATAAAACACATTATATATTTTATATGAAATTACGATATAGTTACGGATCCTAAGTTAAATTCTTAAAAATTTGTTTTAAAATGTTTTTAACATATGTTACTTACATAAAAGTATTCAATGCTAAAAAAGAATGAAGAAACTCCTGAAAAATGGAGATTTTGGGTTTAGAAAATAGCGGAGAACTAGCTGTTTATGTGAATGCTGAAGCCTAATTATCCAAAAGTAGAATACATTAGGGAACCAAACAAAGAAACTTTTTACTGACGTAAATACGAATTAGGATACATTATGTATTAAAAATGTAAAACACACAAATAGTACTATTCTAATAATGAAAACCAAATTGTGTTTTTTCAGACAAAGACGAGCAATAAAATGGCAAAGACTCTTTCTTTATGAATGTAAAATCTCTATTATCGTTATCAGGGTTTCTATAAATATGTGTCTACACATTTGATTTTGTTTAAGAAAGATCTCAGTGTTAAACAAAACATTAGAAGTTACTTTTAAACTTTTTTTTAGTAGTTTTTTCCTTTTTGTACATTTGCGTAGCTTTTAATATGTTTTGATTAACCGCAGAGCTAATAACATATAGAATTTAGATCTCAATCGAACTACACACATTATAAATGAAATTAGTTTTTGCAAAAAATATAATTTTTTGAATTCCTGTTCCCTAAATCTTTGTAATCCGATGTTGTTGACCTTTAATATTTAAAATTATTTGAATTCTGTTGGATCAAATAGTTTAAGTTTAAAATATCAGGCTCCAGACATAAAGGGAATAGAAAATTGGAGTTTTTCATGGATTTGTTGTTGATCTTGTTGTTTTCCAGGGTTGGCGGGGTCCGGAGCTGCTTCAGGCTTAGCTACAGCTGCTTTTGAATACAATGTAAGTATATTAACAAAGAAACTTTTCAAACTAAATATATAAATTGCAATTTATGTTCTTTAACTTTAATGCAAGTTTTCAAGGCCCTTACTCATTAAGTTCAAAGCTTAATAATGAAATAATGTAAAATGAAGGAATGTAATGAAGGAAAAAAATATAATAATGTTGGTATTATATTTAACAAGCCAATTGTGATTATAAATTTGTTTCAAATAGTTATGGTTTATTATCTGTTATGTATTTCTAGTTGGGTAGATCTACATTATTCACCTGGTCATTACGAAAACCGGTTGGAAACCCAAAATTAAATTTTGATGAATTTATATCTAAAATGTTTGATATAAGAAAAGAAGTATTCAACACATGATTTGAATTTTTGGTTTCCTCATTTTGATATTAAATATAAATTTATATTTATATTCTTCCTGTAAGAAATTGAGTATTTGCCACAAACTCTGATTTTTTAATCCATATATCTTTTCAGCCCAATTTCTTAGACCTGAGATATTTCAAATTAAAAATTCTGTTTGACCAAATAATCTAAGTTTGAAACAGCAAAGGTCTAAACCATCAGACCATCAGATGGCGAAGATATAAGGATTCGAAAATTTTAGTTTGTGGCAAAAACTCAATTCCTTTGTTCAGTAATTTTATCTTTAGTCTCTGATTCTACTTCAACTGCTGGGTTTCGTTTTTCTTCCCGTGTTCATCGCGAGCAAAGTAGGTTATTTTTTATCACCAAAGTTTGAAAATGTCTTTACATTTAAATCAAAATTTGTAAAATTTAAGTTTTAAATTTTGCACATTTTCAGCAATATTATCTGTCCGTCTATTCAAAACAAAGTGCTTATAAAACATGTTCAAACTTTTGTAAGAAACCCTTACCTTTCGAAAATATGAATGTTGTGTTCGAAATTATAAACAAAATTCATATATTTGAACTAAATGTTTGTAATTGCTTTACCATATTCCAGATGGGACACCCCCTCCCAGGGACCTGGTACCCCCCCATGACGTGTTTGAAGATTATTCAACAAGTGTGGGTCCGAGGGACCTGGTACCCCCAGTGTGGGTCCGAGGCTGTTCAAATTTTTTTACTTTTCTGAATAACGCATGACCATAACGCATGTCTTCAAGCATACTGCGGAATGCCTTATTGTACCTATACCCGACTAAATATATATTTAGTCCTACTTTCAGTCTTAAGATTTCGACTCTTTATAACTCTTCGAAAGCCTTGAACAAAAGAAAGTAGATTGCACTATTTTTGCGAAGAAATTTGCACAGAAGCCTTAAAGAGAATTTGCACATTTTCAGTTTTCAATGAATAGCTTTTGAAAAGTTTACAAATATTTTTGCATATTTGAATTCGCCGTGGTAAGAGCTTTTTATAAATGCATATTTTCGCACTTTTTGTTTTGTACATATTTTGTTTAATAACTTGATATTTTGCAATAAAATACAGACAAATTATTTTTGAACGATCAATTAAGATGAAAACTATTAAAATATGGATTAAAAGTTTGTTTTCTCATATATATCAATACAGTGTTGGCTACTGAAATGGTGATATAATACAACTTCAGTACCTGATAATTCATTGGAATTACCCAGACTACTTTTTAATATGTAGAATTTCAGTAACTGATAATTCATTCGAATTACACAGACCAATCTTAAATATGTAGAATTTTAGTAACGGATACTTTATTCAAATAAATTTCAAATTTTCAGCCGCCTTAATGGAATAAATAAATATGGATCGAGGGATGATCGAACCGGTCCAGGGTCAGGACTAATCAAAGAACTGCAAAGTCCCAGATTTGTTACAGAAATTACAAATTATAACGGTTTCAGTAATGTAGTATGATGTCATTCCTTATTGCATTGCTAGGAAGAAACCAATTCTATTTTTTGTATCCGGAACCCAGCAGTACAGTCACGTGATAAGGACCCAGCAGTACAGTCACGTGATAAGGACCCAGCAGTACAGTCACGTCGTAAGGACCCAGCAGTACAGTCACGTGATAAGGACCGGCTCTATTTTCTCTCCCTATTTATCAACTCCATAGACTTAAATTCACAGAACAGAGATTAGAATAGAAGAGAAATAAGACAAACCCTCGTTGTGATTTGTTTCAGTCCCTTTGAACCTGAAAAGGAGTTCAAAGTGTACAATTCATGTAAATTTTCACAAATTATCCCCATTAAATCACAATAATACAGTATTATCCCTTCTTTTTAAAAAGTTTCCGCTGAAATAAACTCGGGAAAGCATGACAGGTTGTCAGAGAATTCATTAAGAGAAAGAGATGTTTCAGGGCCCAAAAGGTTATAAAGCACAAATGTGAAGTACAGGATGTCCCACGAAACATGACAGTTGGTATAAATAGTTTAATAAGTCTTCTTCCATAATTTGATAAGTTTTTTAATACGAAAGATAATAATAAAAATATTATTTAGGAGTCATATTATAGTAACATTAATTTCAAAGTAAAACATACTAGAGCAAAAGATTTTTTAAACGAAATAAACTGCAAACACCCTTTAATATCTAATACAGTGTATGGAAGACGACATTCAAAACTATTTATCAACTGTCATGTTTCGTATCTGCAGTATGGAAACGGTACAGAAAAATGGCTGTTTTATACAAAATTTTAGACTTTATTCCACTCTATATTATCTATTTGCTTTGCTTAAAATATATGAATAAACTCTTTACTACAGGTCCGTACTGTACCAGAGTTTATGGTAAAGAGGTTTGGAGGATCACGCATATCAACATATTTAGCTGTCATCTCAATGATACTATACATTTTCACAAAAATATCGGTAGGAATCCATTCTAAACAGTTAATGTCGTCTTTAATATTTCATTATTTTTTTTAATTACACTCTTGAGCTTATATTAATAACTTTCTTTTAAAGCTACACATCTTAAAATTTTTACTTAAAAAAAAAATATATTCATTGACGAAAAATACTTGTTGAAATAAAGTTGCACATTGTACATTGTACAAACTAGTATAAACAGTGTTTCAAGTTGTTAAGCAAGTACGTTTTTTTCTAAATTCTGACTGAAAAATAGCTTTTTTCAAAATCTCATCTCAAACTTTTTTCTTCCGGTCATAAAAAACGATTTGCATAATAATAATTGACCCACAGTGTAAATTAAAATTTTAAAAAAGTTTCAATTTTTTAAGCTCGGTCTTAAATTAAAAATAATTGTTTTTGGACAAAAACTAAAACTTTTACTTCAAAAAATTGTATTTATGATAAGACATTTACACCTTTTTAAGTTAAGATCAACAAAATCAACACCACTGAAACCTAATTATTGTACAAGATGTTATGTGTGTACTATTCAGGTTGATTTGTACTCTGGTGCGCTTTTTATCCAGCAAGCTTTGAATTGGAATCTCTACTACAGGAAAAACTTCATCTCAAATCAGTAATTCATTCATATTTGTCATTCAACAACAAAGCATGAGATATTACAAATAAGTAATCACAATTTACTATGCAGTTTGGACCCGCCTAACCAGGATTGGTTGTTTTGAGTGGTTGGCCCGAAGTTAATTAACGAATATAGTGGGTTACACATATCATTAATTAATTCTTTAACAATGAATTTGAAATACTATTAAAACAATATACAAAAACACGCGTGAATATATAAGATACAACTGTTTTAGCATTAGTATTGTAAAACATTTTGTCTTAAAAAAACATAAAAATTTATGATATCAAATTAGGGTCGACTCTTCCATTAAAATCTCAAGGTAAAAGCAATAAAATAGGATTATTAAGACCTATTCTCTATATGATGTCCGATGTAAAATTGTAATGGTTAGTATAAAGGAATTCAGATTTTCTAAGCCCTAATATCTTTACAACACAATTTAGCAAACAATGACTTTTGTTAGATTAAATAATTTAAGTGTAAAAATCAAAGGTTTACATCCGGTTTACATCAGTATCAAAAAAGTTAAATTATTGTTTAGAAAAAATTAATTAAACCTGATTTTGGTGATGTATTTTATGAACCTGATTTTGGTGATGTATTTTATGAACCTGATTTTGGTGATGTATTTTATGAACCTGATTTTGGTTATGAGAAGGGGGGGGAGGGGAGGTACTATAGAAAATAATAGTTTGTATTTGATTAAATCTTAAAACAAGGCAAATGAATGAAAAACTGAAGAACATTTTTTTCTTCAGTTTTTCTGAAGAAAGAAAATATCTTTTTTAAAAGGACTGTAAGAGTATTTTCAAGCAACCCTTCATATGTGACGATATCAATGCTCGATTCACATCTGTGCCCTTTAATTCAAAGCTTTGTCAGATCAAGTATGAATTAGATATCAATGTTTTTAATTTTGAACAATGATTTGTTTTAATGATGGGTTCTCTACAAAAGTGTCGTGCGCATTTCTACTGCAGGAAAACGTATATAAATGATCAGAATTTATAAATACTTTTAAACATATAGAATAGACATCGGATGATGTTTTTATCAGTATTATGGCTCTTCTGGGTTTAACGTGCTTGTGTACTCTTGGTGGAGGTCAGTAAATACATTTCACAAAATAAAAATTGAATTCTCAAAATAAAAATTTAAATAGCATAAAAACTCCAGAGCTGAAAACTTTCGAATGGTGGATATCGAGACTAATGCGTGATCCTTTGTTTTTCTTAATATCGAAACTAATCTAATCTTATACTTGCATCCTGAAAAGTGTATAAAATTCAACCAATCAGAGTCGCGTATATGAAGCTAATAAATTTGAAATATTGCGCGCCATTTAAGATTATATACAGAAATGGGAGGAACTCTTTAATTTAGAAAAACCGGATTTGATTTTTCTCTACTATATCCAAGAAAAAACGGTTTACGAAGAAAATCAAAAGTGTGTTCTTTGGATTCTCAGATTAAGTAATCGGGATTAAGGATATCTAATTCTAAAGTTTTCAGCTCAGGCATCTAAAAACACAATCAAATTGAATCCATTTTCGTGTTTGGCGTTTATGATGAAAAAGTATCACAAAGTCACTGAAAGAAAAAGTAAATTAAATAAAAAAGGTTGCGGTTCTCCGTTAACACAGATTTTGAATCAAAGTTATCAAAAAAATAGAAATTGCAGATAAACAAATCAGAAATAAACAGAAAACTGTGGAATGATCTTCTTTGTTCCTTTCCAATATGAAATTTTGCGAAGCATTTTGAATTTAGTAATATTTGTATAACTCACATATTTATCAAAATTTTACAAATGAAAAGCCCCAAATAAAAAAGGTAATATTTAAAAGAAATAAATAAGATGCCAATAATAGCGCAGTGAAATGTTTAGGGTTAGCAGCAGTTATATACATTGATGTTATCCAAGTCCTTATTATGCTCGGAGGGTCATCAGTTCTACTTTACAAAGGTGAACACGTTATTAAAATTTTAATTAAAACTTGAATTTTAATTAATTAAATTCTAATTATTTGAATATCATTAAGGATTAGAAGCAGTGGGAGGATGGGAGGAACTCCAGAGAAAGTAATATTTAGATTTTCTTATTTGAAATTTAATATTTAAATTGTTTCAGTACAGTGCATATCTCTGTAACAGTTTAGCTTGTCTGTTTTTGTCTGTCTGTGTTACAAAACTGCTAACTGATCAGGTCCAAATGTGTTTTGGCAACTTACATGATCCAAGTGATGATTATAGCTTATCAAAATTTTTTTACTGGATTTATTTTTGAAAATCTATCAATCTGCGAAAATGTTTGTTTCTTGGAGTACGATGCAAAATGGCGGCTTAAAAATCAACTGTTGAAAGATGTTACTACTCAAAATTCATTTTGTGCATGCACATTTTTCTAGAATTTTATCGCCCAATATTTATCTATATGCACGTTCAAATATGATGTAAGATTTACAGCATCTGACGAATGGTTTTGCAAAAGAAACCAAATATGTCTTCGTTGAAATCCTGCATTATAAATATATTTGGCGAGTATAAAGGACTGTTAACAACGATATGTTAATATCTAATCTAAGAATTAAATTAAGAGTTTTATTAAAATGTTCATTTTTGGATGAATTTATCCTGGACAATGTTTTAAATCTTTGTCAGAAATGTATTCAAGTCGATGCAATTTACACTTGAAAATTTAACAAAAATAACTTGTTTAAAGAATGAAACAGCATTAACAAAAGACTATTAAAAAAAGAACAAATCATATAAAATCGTGGCATTTTATGACTGATATCTTCTGGTTAGACAGTTTTCGACACTTTTTGTATATTTCATCTCGGTCACAGATTATGAACTACATCAAATACCCATTACATCATGTCTTGCCATAAAATGTTACAGAGAGGCATAAAAGCAAAAAAACAATTCCTAATAAAATATATTTTAGATATTTGACATCAGCTCCAAATATTACCTACTGGTCAGCCAGTAATACTTCTGTTTGTGGACTTAGTAGACCAGACTCATGGACCATACTAAGGGACAGTCCAAAATTTTTAAAGATTTTCTATCCCCACCCTCTCCCACTGCTGCTTTTCTAACTTACTCAAAGTAGCTGGCTTGCATTCAAATGCTTAAAATCAAAAAATAAATAAATGTGATGCATAAGGGTGTTAATACAAGATGGTCGGAAAAAAAACTTTATAAGTCCAAACATCTTTTCAATATATCATTGACCTACGGGCCTTAAAATAACATTTTTGAGAAAAAAAAACTATGAAAACTTAATGTAAAACATTGTTTCAGTCAATCAACTTAACTATTAAATTTAAAAGGTCTAGAGTTTACAAAACTGAGTTAGAACTCTTCACTTAACTCCCATATCTCAAGGGCAAAATCAAAGGCGGGGGNTTTTGACTGAGCAGAGAACCGTATGAATCTGATATGCCTTGGCCTGGTTTCATACTCGGACAAACTCCAACATCTGTATGGTTAGTATATGTGATAACCAGAAAACTCTTAAATAGGAAGACGACTTTTAGACTCAATTTTTGTCTAATTAAATAGTCCAATGAACACGAGACACAGCAGTTAAGCATATATTCTTAAACAGGCCCATTTCACTTAATTAGTGATTTGATAAGTATATAGTGAAACTATTTGCTTTCTAACAACATCAAATATTCTTAATTATGTATTGCTATAAAGTCATTTTTCTATTCCATTGTTTTCTGGTTATCACTGCATATTTTTTTAAGATAATGAATAAGTTATAACAAATATAAAGTTTTTGCTTACACCTAATAAATGGAGTTACTATCGACCCTCCGATTAAAATGAGTTGAAATTTGACAATTTCCTTTATTGTCTCTACACCTAGATAAATTAGAATAGATTGTTCATGCAGACTGTAAAGCTGAAAATTGTACAACCCCTTGTACATCATGAACTTGTCATTTGAAGAGGTCATTGAATACGTTTTACTTCTCGGGGTCAATCTGTAGAGTATTTTTTTACTAATTTATTTAAAGAAGTTTAGTAAAAACTAGGCCTAACCCATTAACTATTTTAGCTTTTAACCCTAAACAGGCTTGGCCGGCCCTATAGTTTTTTTTTTGTCCTAGCACTCTCATTTTTGTCACTATTATCGTGAAATTTTGTGACTTTTAATGAATAGTTAATCTAAAGGATTTTTCTGTCAATTTTTTTTTAATGCATAGGGTAGGGTACAGGGCGGTAAAAAGTCCGGTCTGTGTAAAAAAAAATCTAATAAGGCCTTCAACTTTTTTGTGATTAAAGCTACAGATCTAAAAATTATATTTTTAAAAATTCCTTAAAGAATAGATTATAAAAAATAGCTGTTTAAAAAAATTACAATTTTACCTTTTTTTGGCTTTTTTTTCAACCTTCCCTAGAGCCCAACTATTAGAATTATCTGTCTAATTTTTTTTTCAATGAGCTGGCGTTGAAAAATTGGTCTATGATTATGCATTTTAATTCTATACCTATTCTCTAAGGCCTTTTATAATGGGAGTGGCGTGGGACGCTCCCCCCCNTATATAATATAGATACATGATTTCTTGTTTTCCTTAAATATATGTAGATTGTGCATAGATGATATATATATATAATATAGATACATGATTTCTTGTTTTCCTTAAATATATGTAGATTGTGCATAGATTATATATATATATAATATAGATACAAATAGAAATATACAAAAACCTGAACCTCTTGGATCTGTGATGAATAATTCAAGAAGTTTATCTGACATTTCATTAGTTTAAAACTCAATCCAATTTAGTTCAAACTTAGAAAGTTTAGAATCTGAATTAAATCAACATTCAATCACTTCTCTTCTTTCTGATTTCCTAACAGGGAGGATAATTGGTTCGCTAGTTTTCTAGAGTTATACATTTATTCATTCATTCATTCATTCATGAATATGTAATATTTTCAGTCTTTGGCCAAAATACGAATATTTCTATAATGAATAATAGTAATAATAAACACATGAAAAAAACTACCAAGAGAAAACGAGAGATAAAACTTTTGAAGAAAAACTCTTCTGGGTTGACAGACTTAGAAAAAGTTTCGAACTTGCCAATTTCAAGTTATAAAATAAATAAAATTATTCGTTCTTCTCGGGAATCAGGATTTTCTCATCAACTTTTTTTTACATAGACTTTGGACAAAATTACGAGATACAACATTTGTTTTGTTATCAAAATACTAACCGTAGTCTGTACTTTTTCGTATACTTCACTGAACCAAACTAATTGATCACTGTACTTTGCTATATTTTACTGTACTGTATCATATTGTACTGTTCTGTATTGTATATAACTGTGCTGTATTGTATATAACTGTTCTGTATTGTATATAACTGTTCTGTATTGTATATAACTGTTCTGTATATAACTGCTCTGTATTGTATATAACTGTTCTGTATTGTATATAACTGTTCTGTTCTGTAAAGAAAAGTACTGACTTGAATTCTCTTCTCTACTGTATTGTAGGTACTGTAGGTGCTGATCAGATGATTGTACAGATAGCATTGTACTGTACTGTATTGTAGGTACTGGTGTGCTGATCAGATGATGGTACAGATAGCACTGTACTGTACTGTACTGTAGGTACTGGTGTGCTTATCAGATGATTGTACAGATAGCACTGTACTGTACTGTATTGTAGGTACTGGTGTGCTGATCAGATGATGGTACAGATAGCACTGTACTGTACTGTACTGTAGGTACTGGTGTGCTTATCAGATGATTGTACAGATAGCACTGTACTGTACTGTATTGTAGGGACTGGTGTGCTGATCAGATGATTGTACAAATAGCCCTGTACTGTATTGTACTGTAGGGTCTGCTGTGCTTGTCAGATAATTGTACAGGTAGCACTGTACTGTACTGTATTAGGTACTGGTGTGCTGATCAGATGATTTTACAGATAGCACTGTACTGTACTGTACTGAAGATACTGGTGTGCTTATCAGATGATTGTACAGATAGCACTGTACTGTACTGTATTAGGTACTGGTGTGCTAATCAGATGATGGTACAGATAGCACTTACTGTACGGTAGTGTAGGTACTGGTTTGCTGATCAGATGATGGTACAGATAGCACTGTACTGTACTGTATTGTAGGTACTGGTGTGCTGATCAGATGATGATACAGATAGCACTGTACTATACTGTATTGTAGGTACTGGTGTGCTGATCAGATGATGATACAGATAGCACTGTATTGTACTGTATTGTAGGTACTGGTGTGCTGATCAGATGATGGTACAGAAAGCACTGTCTGCTAAATCTCTCTCTGATGCTCAGGGAGCAACAATATTCACAGGATGGATAAAGGTAGGAGTCTTATAAAAGCCTAGATATCCTGAAATTAAAAAATACGGATAATAACAATGCCCAGAGACCGAATTTGATAACTTCAAACATGGATGGTTCCACCTAAAATTTTAGTAAGTTTTTCGAAATTTGAGCCGGCGCTCAATTGGGACCGGTTTTTTTGGGATTCAGCGACGTGGTTAAAATTGTTTAAATTCGGACTCACTCCAACTAACAAATCGGTGAATAAACTCACCCAGGCTTGTCTCTTTTCTTCTCAGAACCGGATTTTTTTAAAGGTAATGGGGTTCTTAATGGTCCTAATGAAAACCATGCATTGAGAGCAAAACATTTAATTTGGAAACAAGGGTTTTACTTTTACATGTTTTTAAAACAGATGAACAATCCTTTGAAATATAAACACAACAACAGTTTATAAACACAACAACAGTTTATAAACACAACAACAGTTTATCAACACAACCACAGTTTATAAACACAAAAACAGTTTATAAACACAACAACAGTTTATAAACACAACAACAGTTTATAAACACAACAATAGTTTATAAAAATTACAAAGGTTTTTCAGAAGGTAGTATTTATAAAATGGTTGAGAAGTATCCTTCAAAAATTAATTGATAAGTTTGAAGTTTGAAGATGTTTATAAATAATTCTGAAAGGATATTTCTTGACAAGATTTTGCAACCTTTGCACTGGAGGCTGCTGCTAAAACTATCCTTTGTCCTTAGATAGATTACTGATCATATTATAAAAGGTTTAACCCTTTAGCCCTGGTGGGGAAAAAGTATGTTGAGAGTTGAGACCCAAGTTTGACTTTTATCTTCAGTATTTGATCTGCTCTTCTAACTTCTAAACAAAAAAATAGTTTGAACTTATATCTTCTTAAATCATTTGAGAATCTAAAGACTTTTCTGTTTCTTTTTTCTTCGGCTTTCTAGCGGAAAACCAAAGCTAAGTCAGTAGGTTAGAAAGGGATAAATAGAAATTGCAGTTTTGATCTAGATACTGCAGGAGAGAAAATAGCTAATTTTATATAATTTTCTTTGGAGATAATTTTTTTCCATGATAATACCTGAAAAGTATGAAAAAATTAAGGTTGGGTGAAATGCATTAGATTGCAATGGGGAAAAATATCCAATAATCGAAAGATAACAAAGATTCTTAAAGATTAGGTTTTATAAATTTCTAAAAATATCAAAGATTCTTTTTTTCTTCTTTGCTAATAAAAATATTTCAGATTCTTCCAATGTTTCTCATTGTTGTTCCAGGGATGATTAGCAAGGTCCTTTACCCAGACACGGTAAATAAAAAAAAATCTAATAAAAACTTTAAATTATCCTTTTACTCTTTAAAACAAGTGTTAACTGTTTAAATGTTTTTATAGGTGTAAAATGATGAATAATAGATACAGCTAATCATAAAGGTTGTCGAAAATCAGTACGAATCAAAACATTTCTCTTTCATTTTTTCAAAACTAGTGTAAAATATGTATATATTTCTTACTAGCTGAAGGGCCCCGCGTTGCCCGTGGAAAATTTTTTTTTTTAACAAAAGAAAATTTAAAAAAAAATTTAGTTTTGGCTTATGACCACAAAAAAAATCACCCCAATTGGTTCAGCCGTTTGTCCGGCTGTACGCAACATAAATAAAAATGAATGTCTTGTTTTATTATATAGATATATTTCTCGTCGTAATACATTCATAGTTCATTGCAAAAAAGTACTGACAGTTCACCACCAAAATATTAAAATCTAAAATATTAAAATCTAAAAAATTGAACATGTGAGTTGGACTTTTATTTTTTAAAATTTATATTTTGCAAAAAAATATTTCTTTGAAATTTTTTTGTTTTTGTTTTAGGTTGGATGCGTAGACCCAGAGATATGTCAGGTTAGATTTGATTTATTCTTTTCATTTTTCTTTTATACTTAATAACCTTTCTCTCAATCTTCTCTACTTTTTCATTTTATTGGGTTTATCAACATTGCTTTCACTCTAACAGGCAATAAAGGAAAAGTTTAAATAATTCTTTTTTATTGTATATTCTACAGTTTCTTTAAGTTAGAATATATTCTGAGATTTTGAGTTGGAAAGATTATATTAAGTTCTCTCAGGTCAGAACCAATGGCAGGGATTACTAGAATTAAGCACATTATCCTGAAATTTAGAAATTGTCACAGTGAATATCGAGCTTAAGTATATATTACCGTAATTAAATAAAAGGTTTACATCTCTTCATATTTCACATATCAGAATATTGTGAAACCCTATTTTCTTCTTCTAATACAGAATATCCTTTTTATATTTCATAATTCAGACTGTTGGAGGAACACCTGCATCTCCTGTTTAAATATAGCATGACCTGTTCAAATTTGATAATTCAGACTGTTTTGGGAGCCCATGCAGTCGTTTGCTTAAATACAGCATATTCTTTTCATATTTGATATTTTAGGCTGTTTGTGGAACCATATTTTTTTGTTCTAATACAGCATATCCTGTTTATATTTCATATTTCAGACTGTTTCAGAGGAACACCAGCTTCTCCTGTTCAAATTTGATAATTCAGACTGTTTTAGGAGCCCATGCAGTCGCTTGCTTAAATACAGCATATTCTTTTCATATTTGATATTTTAGGCTGTTTATGGAACCATATTTTTTTGTTCTAATACAGCATATCCTGTTCATATTTAATATTTTAGGCAGTTTGTGGAAACCCAGTCTCCTGTTCAAATACAGCATATCCTGCTCTTGTTCTTGGAATTATGCCGGAAGGTTTACGGTAAGGTTTCAGTGCATGAACGCTTAACTTGTTAACATCTACATACAGAGAAAAAACGAGGTTAAAGTTTTTTACTGTTGTAGGCGATTATATCAATAAAATGAAGACGACTATTCTATTTAAGTTTTAATTGTTACAAGCTTTTTCCGAATTACAAGTTTACAAGTAATCAAAGAGAAGTTTTTTTTATTAACAGCTTCTATTTGTTTCCGTGTTTATGTGTATCCAAGCTGTTTAACAGCTTGGTACAAATATAAATAGAAATCGAAAGTCGTCTTCATTGTATTGATAAAATCGCCTACACCTGTAGTTTAATCTTTTAATAAGATACAATAATTATGATTTAAGTCTGAAACTGAGCACGGAATATTTCAGGAAATAGATTTTAATTATAAGAGTTATAAAAGTACAAATCTTTAGCTATGTTTCTGATTTATTTGATTGAATTTAGACGACATAGCTTGCGTTGCTTTTAAAAGACTTTATTCAACGCAAAAGTTTTAGGTCGTATTTGCAGTCTCATCCTTTGTGGGTAACCATGTATATTGAAACATCGTGTCCATCGTTATGTTTCTTAGATCAGTTTCGGTGATAATAAATCGTTATTTTTCTTAAAATTATTTTCTGTTCAATTTTTTTGAATTCCCCCCCCCCACATTTACATTTTTCACGAAATCTCTCTTTAATTTTAAAAATTTTTGAATAAGTAGGATTGAAATAATCTGAATTTAAATCTGTTTCAGAGGAATGATGATTGCTGTAATGTTGGCAGCTTTGATGTCAGATCTTACATCAATTTTCAATTCAGCGAGTACACTGTTCACCATAGATGTTTACAAACAGTTCAGGTGCAGTACATTCTTTACAATAGATGTTTACAAACAGTTCAGGTGTATATTTGTCTAAAGATTAAGATCAAATATGGCTTTAAAATATTTCTCAAGAACTTTATCTCAGACCAGATTTAATTAGGAGTTGAACCATGTAGACGCCGATAAACTATTTCTCTTGTGCGCCGCGGTTCAACATATGTCTCCGTACTCCGTAGTTCAAGGACTTCTCGCTATTCATTAAGTTTGGTCCCTATATCCCTCCCAAGAGAGCAGAGAATCCGAATCCGGATCCTAATACGCATTTTTAACTTTATCAAGATGTCTTCTGAATCTGACAGAAGGTCATTAATTATTGCCAAGGGGAAGTTTCGGCACATCATAATCAAATTGCTTTCTTAATTAACAAATGTATTAATAAAAAAAACTCAAAACCGTATCATTATAATTTGATACAGAAAAAAAAGAGAAAATAAGTATCACCATTTAATAATTCAACTCAGTGTTGTTATGTATTTCGGGATTTAAATATTTTCGAATTTTAAACTCAAACAAACTAAATTAAGTAAAAATATAATGTCAAGTTTTATAACACAAGGCATTTGCATAAATAGATATAAATATTGACACTGTTTTTGTTATGTGAGAAATTTGTTTTCAATCAATTATTCTGTATTTTTATGTTTTTTATCTTATTATACATATAGCATTTTTTCAACAGTCTTCTGTATGTCACACTCTTATTTTTTTCTCTCAATTATGCGTAAATTATCCAGAAATATATTTCTTTTTCAAAATCTATCAAATATTAATTTATTTTTAGAAGATATATTAAACTTTTTTGACGGTTCATTAATATTTTTTAAAAATACATTATTATTTTTAGAAAATGCATTAGCATTTTTGAAAAATTCATTAATATGTTTTGAAAATATATTAATATTTTTAAAATTTTGTCAAAATCAGTAGGAAATATATTAATATTTTTAGAAAAATATCAATATCAGCAGGAAATATATTAATATTTTTAGAAAATATATCAATATCAGAAGTAAATACATGAATATTTCTTGACATATTTGATATATTTGATATATTTGTAGGAAATCTGCCGGTATTCCTGAGTTGCTGTTGGTTGGAAGGTAGGATTTCTAGAACCAATTTACTTTTCTTCTTGTCATCTTTTAGTATTGAAACTTTTAATGGAAAATGTCAAAAAAAAAGTTATTGAATTAAAAACGTATAGTTTTGGGCAGGGTCCGATCTTAAATAAAAGAGTCAAGGAAATATATTCACACCTAAAACATTTTTTATTTTGAAATTTTGGGATTAATTTTTATAAATAAAACCACTGAAAGGAAATGGCTGAATAACACATTTTTGTTATTTTAGAGCAATATACAGGATATATGAAGATTCTAGAAGGTTTGAAAAATGTAAAAAATTGATAAATTAAAAAAATTATATTTACCAGATGCTTTATACTGCTGATGGTGTGTATATCAATTGGTTGGATTCCTATTATACAAGAAATGCAAGGAGGACAGCTCTATATATATATACAGGTAACGGTATTTTATAATATTTTTTAATTAATTTGTTTTGAATTTGATTATTTCTCTTGTCGCTTGCGCAACTATCTAGGAATCCCGCGCACCACTCACATTTTTCGAAATCCGTTAAAAACGTTTTCTGAAAAAGTAAATGTAAAAAAATGAATAAAATAATCAAATTCAAAACAAATTAACTAAAAAATATTATAAAATATAAAATATAAACAAATGTGGCGAAAGATAATCGATGACTATAGGTTGTAATATCTGAATGATTTGTTTGAAATCAAATTGATTTTCTTACGGTCTAAGTCGTATGTTGCAATTTCCTCAATTTGTATGGGCGCTACGTTCTTCGGTAAGAGACGTCTATAACAATGTTTTCCTAATGGACGCAACAGATAGTAGTAAGATTAGTAGCGATCAAAAGCCCTTTTTTATCGCATAAAGCCTATACCCCCTTTCATTTTTCGCGAACACTCCCTTTAATTAAAATAGATTATTGAAGTTAAAAATGTATATACAGGTAAAATTATATTGATCACTTTTTTGGCTTTTCATATTTGTTCTTTTGGTATTTTGAAATATCAAAAGCCAAATGATTGAACAATCTTTTAAAACAAAATAGCTTTATTTAAGATACCGTATCTCTTTCAGAAGCATTGATGGCTTCAGAATTTAATTTTGGTGCTTTCGTGGGAATATTTTTAATTTTTTTATTCCATTTTTCATAATGATTTGAAATGTTTTGAATTGTTTTTTTAAAATTTTTTTTTCTGAATTGAAAGATATTTTGTTTTGAATTTAACTTTTTATCCAGCTAATGCATGGTAAAGCTAGCTTAGTCATCCTTTTCTCATGAATTTTGTTAACTTTTCAGCTAACTTTTTTTAACTTTTGAAAACTTTTTCCTCATCCAACTCTAAACCTACACTTCTCTGTGTTTACCCGAGAAGGAGAACAGTTGTGAGTTCTACTGTAGTTATACAAAATATAACCTTTTTACGAGTTATAAGGAAGAAAAACTAATTAAATTTTTTTTCTAAAAACATTCATTTTATAATTTCTTTTTTCTTGTTATAAAAGTTTTTATGGGAAAAATTAAAATAAAGGAATTTTGAGTCTTTGCCACTAACTCTGATTTTCTAATCCCTATGACTTAGTATCACAATTTCGTAGAACTTAGATATTTTAAACTTTAATTTCTGTAAGATCAAATATTTTTAAATCTAAAATATCAACTTCTTTCCACAATTGGCAACTTTTCCTTTTGATAATCTTATACTTTTGGTTCTCCCACAGTTCAAATTTATAATTTATATCTAAGAAAAAATCAGCATGAAAAGTAATGTTTCTATTAAAGTCTGTAGCTGCCTACCTCTCTCCTCCAATAGCTATTGTCTACTGCTTGGCGATATTCTGGGATCGAACTAATGAACCGGTAAATATCTATTACTGGAACTAATCAAAATCAACATCCTCAGTAAAAGGAATTGAATTTTTGTCACAAACTCTGATTTTCGAATTCCTACATATTTGCAACTTAATGTTGTAGACCTTAAATATTTCAAACTATTAATTCTGGTAAATCCAATAATCTAAGTTTGAAATATCAAAGGTTTACAAAATAAGGTTGCAAAGATATAGGGATTTTAAAGTTTATTTGTGGCAAAGATTCAAGTCCTTTGTCTAAAATTTAGTACAAAACTAATAAAAGATAAATCTTACTAGAAGTGGATTATTTATTTAGTTTCGAAGACTGTTTTACTATTTTACTACTTTACTGTTTTACATCTCCAATGTGTTCAATTCTTGCCTGAAATTAGTTCAATATTTAAAAAGAACCCCAAATTGGAAATTATATAATTTTTAGCTTAGATAACAAGGTTATTTTTATCCTTAATGTTAAAGAAGTATGGTTTTAAATTGGCCCTGCCCCTCTATAAATTAAGGGTCGCTTGATTATACTCCTTTTAATTTTTCATAGAATTTTGGGTGGTTTTACATTTCTCATAAGAATTTGCAAACATTTGTTTACGAAGGAGCATTTGGATGTTTTTTTTTTCTTTTATGGTAATATACTTCAAGTTTTAAAATGTTTTTTGTATGGATTTTCCCATCTGAAAAGTGCATACAGCTTTAAACACCTAAAACCTCTTATCTATCTTTATATAAATTTGGCTTGTCTGTTTGTTTGTTTGTATCGAATAAACGTCATAACGGCTGAGCCGATCGGGCTAAAATTTTTGTGGGACATCTAGGGACCCCAGGGAAAGTTTATGAATGATCAAAATTTCAAATATTTGTCTCCATCAAAATTCGATCTTTATTAAATTTTTGAAAATTTTGAAAATCCACGAAATTTTTTGTGAAAATCCGCGAATTATTTTAGTTTTGTTTTACGATGTACACAAAGAGAACATGTTCACAATTAATTTAGAAGATGGGCGCGAAGCGCCCTCTAAGGCTAGTATTGCAAATATTGTTTTGTTTTTAAGTAGATATTTAAGCATTTATTTTAAAGTTTTGTTTTATTATAGCATATAAAACTTACTTTTTATCTTGTTTTCCATCCGCATATATTACTGTTTGTCACGTAGAAAACTTTTTGTATTAAAAAGGAAATGAAAATACTTCTGCCTTGTTGTGGAGAAAAGTTTAGATAATTTTCCTTTTTTTTCGGTTAAAATATTTTTTTTTTATAGAGACAGGATTTTAATGATAATGTAAAAAGAGTAAAAAAAGAGCAGATACGGTTGTAATATGAAATATGGTGCAACGATTGGACCCATGTGACATATAAACAGTCTTATGAGGTGAGTTTTTAACTTGTTATGTTTAGGGGGCATTCTGGGGGCTAATGTACGGATTGGTGGTTGGATTAGTTCGGATGATTCTAGATTTCTCGTTCAAGGAGCCTAACTGTATGGAACAGGATAACAGACCTTCTATTGTTAGTAAGGTGAGAACGTCAGTGACATTTTTGCCTTTCTAGAAGGTTTTTTGTTTTGTTATCTAAATGGCTCAATTAATATATGCATAAATTCTAAATATGTCCAGAGCTAAAAACTTTAGAATGGTGGATATTGAGATTAATGCTTGATCCTCTCTTTTTCTTAATATCAAGACTAACCTAATCTTGTACTTGTATCCTCAAAAATGTATAAGATTGAACCATTCAGAATCGCATATGAAGCCGATAAATTTGAAAATTTGCGCGCCTTAAAGAGTATATACAGAAACGTGAGGGACTCTCTAAATTTTAAAAAAATCCGTTTTTGATTTTTCTCTACTACAACTACTACGGTTTTTCTATACTATGGTTTAAGAAGAAAATAAAAAGTAAGTCCGTTGGATACTCAGATTAAGGATGGGATTAAGAATATCTCATTCTAAAGTTTTCAGCTCTGTTTATTTTTCGATTTTAAGAGCTTTAATGCATAGAACTGTTCAATAAAAATCTAGAAATTGCTCCTTATGAACTAATTGATAATATAATCTAACGATTAACAGCGATATCAGTCGTCTAAGTTTCAAATGTGAAAATTAAAACAAACAGAAAAATGACGATGTCCCGTGTCTTCATATTATAAGATATTAAGCACGTCGACTAAAGGTCCAGTGTCCCATTATATTTATTCTTTCAGCTTTGAAATATTTTCTTTTGTTTTAAGTTGGTTGAAATATGAATGTTTTTATCTCCGAGTAGGACAAAGAAAAAATAATATTTTGATAAACTAACTAAAATGCCTTGCTTTTTCCTACTTAGTATTATTCCCTAACGGGATATAATTTTACTTTATGGCCCGGTTTGAAATAATTTTATTATTTTCTGTTTAGGTTCATTACATGTACTTTGCAGCTGGTCTGTTCATCTCTACTGCCATTGGTAATATTTGTTCATAAACTGTTAGGAATTAATTCTAATTCTAATTAATTCTAATGCAACGGAATATTGAAAATAATTAATAATGGATTTCTCGATAAGTGTAATTGCTATTTCGTGCGTGAGAGTTTTACGTTTTGATGTTAAAAGAGTGCAGATTTAATACAAGGCTCATGTGTTAATTATACTATTATTGTTATAATTATAATTAATATTATTTTATTAACATCATTACTAATATTCTTTTTAGTTACAGTTGCTGTCAGTCTAGCTACTCCTCCTTGTCCAGCTAATATGGTAACCAAATTTTCTTCATAGAATCCTTTGTTTCACAATACGTATTACGTGTGATACATGTATTCAGAGCTGGGAACTTTAGAATGGGATACCTTTAATCCCGACTGCTTAATCAGAACGTCAAATGTGGACACTTTTAATTTCTTGCTTTATCCATTCTTTTTGGATATAGTACAGAAAAATCAAAAACCGGGTTTTTCAAAATTAGAGAGTCAATTTCACGGCTTCTAACACTTAACTCTGATTGGTTGAATTCTATTCACTGTTCAGGATACAAACACAAGATTAGTTTAGTCTCGAAATCAAGAAAAAGAAAGGATTAAGAATTTATCACGATATCCACCCTTCTAAAGATTTCTGCTCATATCAGATTGGATGTTTATTTGGCGCAGGTGGATTTGTGATACAAAAGAATGGAGGAATTCGTATAATCTAACAAAGCTAGAAAAACTATTGTATTTTCAACATTATCGAAATAAAGATTTCAGGGGTTATCTCTTTAAATGGAGGTTCACTTGAGATTACATTGTCGTCATCTTTAAGATTTGTTTGCAAACTTTCCCTTTATACTCTTTTGTCCGAAAGATATATAAGAATGAAATTCACTTTTCTGAGTGTAAAAATAGAAGTCATTCTGCCAAATTGCCGACGTGCCATTTTGCGCATTTTTCAGATATTCAACAGATATTTTATATAAAATATTTTCAACCGGTTCTTTAGGAATATAATTCATTCCACATTCTACTAAAACTAAAAATGAATCGTGCATTTGCCACAAACTCAGATTTTCTTAATCTCTATATCTTTGCAACCCAATGGATATAGATATTTCAAACTATAAATTCTGTTGGATCTAATAAGTTAGAAATATCAAAGATTTACACCATCAGGTTAGAAAATGTGGGGTAAAGACTAATTCCTTTGATTGAAAATGAGTTGATGATTTTTTTAAATAAAATGAACATTTCATAATATTTAGTTGTTCATTATTTTGATATTTTTCTATCTATCTGTTTATACATCTCTACTATCTATCTATCTGTTTATACATCTCTACTATGGATGTGATATCTTATACTGAAAGAATAGTATTTAATGAAAAATCTGATTAATTTTCAATAATATAAGAATGAGAATCATTTTAAATGTGCTTTAATATTTTTTTAATAAGAATTTTTTATTAAGTTCTATGTTTGATACCATTTCTTGGCACTTAACATTAATACTTTTTATTTTAAAAAAAGAAATACGTTTTTAATAATTTGAGAACAATCATGTTTTATATAATACCCCCCACAAATATTTTTGAAGGGGGGAGGAGTAATTTAAAAGAGGTTTAAAACTTGAAAGATAAAAGAACTGCGCGCGCTTGCAGATACAATGCTACAATGTAATGGAATATCGTAATGGATATCGTGGATTCAAAAAAAAAGATTCATAATCCCTTAGACACTATAATTTCAGTAGAAGTAAATATTTTCATTTACAGATAGCGCCGATTGAAGGATTCATAACTCTAATTGGATAATGAGATAGATAGAAAGATAGGTGTTACCGCCATACTATTTCTATTGGTTCAGAATAGTCAACAAACACATGACTGAACCCTGATTTGATCAGGCCTTATGAACTTGTTCTTGTAGGCTTTCAGGGCGCTTCACGTTCATCTTCTATTTTCACTGTGAACATTTTCTCTTTGTATACATTGTGAAAAAAAAGTTATCGAATTTTGTAAAAAAAAACGTGGATTTTTAAAATTTAATGAAAATCGAATTTTGTTGAAGGCTAATTTTTGAAATTTTGACTATCCAAAATTTTTCTCTAGGTTTATGTGAGGTTTGACGTTCCTTTGATACAACAAGGAAAACAAACAAACAAACAGACAAAAAACACACAAGCAAAGTATCTACATCCTACATAGATTCAGCAAACAAACTGTTCTGAATCTTGTTATTGTTTAGTTGATCCGAACAACCTTCAAGACAAGAAAGAGTAAAGAGGTTAGGGAGGATGAGGATGAGGATGAAGATAAAAAGATGACTGAAGAGGATGACGAGGGTATAAGGTTAAAAATGTTAAAAGGTAAATTTTTAATATAAAAATGAAAATAAGAAAATTTCATATTTCTTTTGACATGATTGTTAATTGCTATATCGTGACAAACCAAAGGTTTAGACTTTTGAATAAGAAACTGGTAACTAGCCATGTATACAAAATTTAGAGTCCCTATATATTTGCAACTTGATGCCATAAATCTTCGATATTTTAAACTTTGCCTATTTGTTCTTTTAGCCGCGGCTTAAATTTAAGCCGTCGTGGCTCAAATATGGTTGGTTTCATTTAAAATTGTATTTAAATGTTCAAGACTTGAGCCGGCGCTCAATTGAATCAGGTTTTTGGGGGATTTGAACCGCGGCTTGAATTCATTAAATTCGGACTCTAGTTTGAAATATCAAATATCTACGAGATTTGAATGCTCGTGCTTTGAAGTTAGTAATTGGATCCTTTGCTTTCAAAGCTGAGCAAAATTATTTAATGTTAAAGGACGAACATCATAAACATACTTTATCTTTAAATTTGTTAAATCATAAATGAACAACGTGTTCCTAGCACTTTTGTATTAAACTTATGCTAATCATTCAAATCTTGAAAGGTATTTATTGTTCCTATTTGTTGTGGACTTGGTTGTTTTTTTACCAGCAAGTTTAAAACCTAGTACTTCTTAAAAATTGTTAGGAATTAGAAATAGGCATCGTTATGAGGTCCGTTCTTTAAACATTCAAGGTTTCTTGGCTTTGAAGGGAGTGTTTTCGAAAAATGAAAGAGAGTAAAGGCTAACGGCGAAAATTTTCTATTTATAAGTCCGTAATACGTCACCAACCCTCCCGTCAATTTTAGTGCAGTATGTTGGTCATGTGTCTCTGTTTGTATCACGTGACCAGTATACTGCACTCTCATTGGTGGGAGTTCTGGTGACGTAATACGGACTTTTAAATGAAATTATAAATTATATCTAATAAAAAAAAAAAAATTATGATAATTGGAGAAAACCTAAGTTACAATTAGCTTTCTCTGGGATATCATTTTTTTCAGATTGATTGCGTATTTGCTGAATATGATCTGTTTAAATCTACTATTTCTATACAAAATTGTATGAATATGAATTTTCGTATAAATTTGACACAGTTTTATATCAATTTCTCGAGACAGGAACTTCAGATAGACGTTTCATGAGTCGCGATCAAGAGCTATAGTGATTAGCTTTCAGCTACCCCCTTTCATTTTTCCTTTACAGACCCTTTAAAGGGAGTGTTCGCGAAAAATGAAAAGGGAGTATAGGCTTACTGCGAAAAATTATCGATGGTGATCACTACTATAATCTTACTTCTATCTGTTGCGTCTTTAAGGAGAAATTTGTTAAAAGCTACTCATACCGAACAATTTAACTTCCATAAAAATTCAAAAAGTTGCTCATACGACTCAATACGATAAGGATTTATCTTAAAAATTAAATAAACTGAAATGTTTAAAAACGGACCTCAATTTAAAACTTTAATAGGTGGAGGAGGAAGAGTACCATAGAAAAATATTCATAATTAACTCCGGAAACATTTTCCAAGATTAATGATATAATATATTTTATATATAATATATTTTTTCCCGTCAGGACATTTGGAGGAAAATGTACGCTAGATTCTGACGTGTGTATTTTGCTTAGTCAACTACACTGATCATTGTTATTAGGTGCAGTACGTGAAAAAGGGATATGTCGAAAATAAACCAAAATTTGGTGGGGGTGGGAAGGGGGCGGGGTTATTCATGGTCTAAATTTGGGTTATAAAAAGAATTTTAACTTTTTCTTCACCTTTATAAGAAAATGGTAAATGAAGACAACTTCTCATAATTATACAGTGCTCCCCAAAATAAAATGGTAAGCATTGACTACTTTTCAAAATATACACTACAGTGCTTCTCAAAATAAAATAAAATAATAATAATTGAAAACTTCTCAAAATAAAATGATAAGCGTTGAAAACTTCTCTTAAATATACGGTGCTCCTCAAAATAAAATGGTAAGTATAGACGACTTCTCTTAAATATTCAGTGCTCCCTAAAGTAATATGGTAAATGATGACTACTTTTCACAAATAAACAGTGCTCACCAAAATAATATGGTAAGCATAGACGACTGCTCATAAATATACAGTGCTTTCCAAAATAAATCTTCTTTTCTCACTTTCTCTTTCTTCCTTTTTTTCTCTTCTTATTTCTTCCTTCGATTTACAGTAACATACAGTAATAAAATGGTGAAGTGAAAACGAATTTATTTGATATGTAATCTTTTTTCAAGAAGCCCTTATATTTATGAATGGTAATCATCATTTACCATATTATTTTGGGGAGCACTGTATATTTATGAAAAGTAGTTGTCTTTATTTACCATTTTATTATTTATGATTAAGGTGAAGAAAAAGCTACAATTCTTTTTATAACCCAAATAGACCATGAATACCCCCCCCCACTCCTCCCACGAAATTTTTGTTTATTTTCATATCCCTTTTCCACGTACTGCACCTAAGAACAATGCTCAGTGTAGTTGACTAGGCAAAATACACACGTCAGAATCTAGCGTACATTTTCCTCCAAATGTCCTGACGGGATTTTTTTACCTCCTAGACCCTTTGGATTGTGACAATGATGATGAAGCTGATGATGAAAATGATGTGAGGATTGAGGAGGGGGTGGGGCAGAAGCTACTGGACTGGCTGAGGGGAGTGGAAAGAAAGGATGGAGAGAAACATCATCAGAACTTGAAATCTCATATTGAGGTGAAGCAAAGTTCCAACTTTATGCTGCAGCAAACTTTAATACAAACAATGATTCCAATTTCAGCTCAACAGAGTTTCTGGGTCTTATCCAAACATTTAATTCAAACTTATTCAGAGTTTGTAAATCACAGATGCATACAATATCCTTAAACTTTAATGAACGTTAAGAAACTAAAATTAACTATATCCAACATTAGTTAAAACAAATATTAAGGGTATCCAAGAATAGTTGAAACTAAGATTATCAAAGCTTTTTTTAGGAACTTGCACATTTACCTCAGACCATATTACAAAAGGTTATTATTATTATTATCATTATTATTATTATTATTATTATTATTTTTATTATTATTATTATTATTATTATTATTATTATTATTATTATTTACTATTATTATTATCAGAGTATATTGTACTGCAACCTGGTGATAATAGTTGGTATAGCTTTTTTCTTCTACATCTACTTCTCCATAAACCCGTTTAACGAGGCCGAGCTCCAGGTGTTCAAGGAGATCGCCCTCAACAGCACCAGCACTAGCGTATACAGTAGTCCCAGGATACTATGATGTTCTGAGTCTGGAAGTTAATACATAAACATGAAAGTATCAGAAATTATGTTTTATTTTTGTTATGTTAAATGGAGTTTTTAAGTAACCTTTAAGTTTTGTTCGATCCACAGCGGTACTTAGATCTGTAAACCTTTAACTTTATATGTGGAAGATATCGTTGTTTTTCTAGCAAAATGCCGCAATTGAAAATTACCTTATTTTAAAGATGAAAGATGGAAATCTAACGCATTTTTGATTAGACACTTTTAAAAGTACCGTGTGAATGGTACATGACACCCTATGAATGGAAAGCCACTTTCATATACACTGTACAATACCTTTACGATTAATTTTAGTAGAAATCATTGTTAATTACTATAGTGTTGTGTTTAGCAGACTGATTTCAATGTGTATGCAATATAAATAACAAAATAACTCAATTTTTACTCAAAGGCTAAAGATACCGTAAAGCAAAATACATACAGGTAAAATAAATTTAAAGTAAATAGTATAAAGTATTTTGAAATGCATTTTTTTTCACCTACCAGTCATTATAATCTTAAATATTAACAGTGAACATGAGTTTAAAATCAAAATAAAAAAGTTGTATGAAAATACTATTGTTAAATAATCATTTGTAACATCTTTATACTTTCTTATCGTTTTGGAAATGTTGGCAAAGGAATTGATTTTTTGCCACAAACTTAAATTTTCGAATTCCAATATCTTATCGACCTGATGTTGTACACATTTGATATTTCAAACTTAGATCAGTTAAGGTAACATAATTCATAGTTTGAAATATCTAAGGTCTACGACATTTGGTTGGAACAATACAAGGACTAGAAAATTAGAGTTTGTTGCAAAGGCCAAAGACTCGATTCCTTTGACATTTTTTAGCGCGTAAAAGCGTAGTTTTTCAGGCAATTCAGGCAGTTAGTATAAAAGCCCGGTTTTAGACCTTTAGGGAGGGCTATGGGTATTTCGGAAAAGTCAGAAAATTTCAACATCCTCAGACCAATACTTTTTGAGTTATGTAAAAATACTATAGAGGGGGGGTCAAGTTGACCCCCCCCCCCGCCCAGCAGGAATAGGTGTTTTGTTTTGTTTAAACATGGAACTTGTTTAAACTAACTTAGTGGGCTTGAGATTAGAACTTGTATTCGGGTATTGTTAATCTACAACGTTTGCATGATCTCGATATCTAATGTGAGCACTTTCAAATTTTAGGATCAATGCTTGATCCCTTCAATAAAGTTATTCCTACACCATGAATGGCCTTCACGGAATATCGAAGAGAAATTAAATAAATCCGAAGATCTGCATAAGATGGATATCAATGCTTGATCCCAAAATTCACAACATAAAAGTTCTGACTTTTGGTCAAAAAGCAAAGTATGAGCACTGTAGATATTTTGAAGTCTTCTTGTATCATATTTATTTTGAAAATATGTTTTTATTCAAATGTTGTTATTGACGTAAATATATAGTTTTCGATGTCAAGAATTTTATTTTTATGTTTTTTAATAAAATAAAAATGAAGAGTTATTTAGTTAAATTTTTTTTAATCGACCCTTAAAGCAATGAATTTATCAAGAATTAGGCCAATAGAATAGATTTGTTTACAAATACAGTGAACTCTAGTTTTTTTAGAAAGATAAACAAGCATAGAACTTTATTCTTAAGCCATCTTTACAAGTATTATGCGTCGTTATTATTCCAGTGGGACATAGTTAAATGAATAGATATAAGTAGTTGAAACAAGCTTTGAAGAAATGTGGTTTAAATTCCTAGTTCATCTACGTCTCGCCATTGATTAAATCTCATCCCTTTATTACATATTTCTAATCCCTTTATCTGTGCAACCTGATGAAGTGTCCTTAGACATTTCAAATTTAGATTATTTGATCCTACAAAGTGTGTAGGTTGAAATGTCTAAGGTCTCCGAGATTAGATTTTAAAGATATAGGAATTAGAAAATCAGAGCTTGTGGCAAAGATTCAAATCATTTGTAAGAAATTTATTTTTGAAAAAAATGCCTGAAACAAGAGAAAGATTGCAAAGGTTTATAAAGAACTAAGTTTATAAGTTACAGTGGTATACGGTGCACTGCAGTCAGTTTAATTACTTTTTAGAGAAGAAGCCTTTATTTTTTTAATTAAACCGGACCAGAGCTTCTTTCTTCAAACACCTTACATGCCTTCAAGTATTTGGCTCTACCGGGGGAGTTTCAATGAGTATGGGAATTAAAGGGAGTGTTTACAATAAACAGATAGCACAGAGACGCATGATTTTTCGGATCCTTCGCAGATGAAATTACGAAGGAAAAACGTGGAATATACATAAAAACATCAAAGTATCCATAAATTCCATATTTTTTTTCATTCTTTACATTGTATATTACCACTCTCTTGCTTTTACTTCATCCAAAATTAATTTATTTAAAATGACAATCGTGTCAGAAACAAATGGTGACCAGTAAAAATAATTAAAATTTTTTTTTATATTCAAATAATATCTGAAGACCATAAACGGTTTTAATTGTGACCCTGCAAATTATCTCCTTCTCCAACTAAGTCTAATAAGTAAATTTTCATGTTGTAAAGTAAAAGACAGGCATAGCTTGTACTTAGTTTGTTTTTGCTGTAAGAATCCACAATCCCCTTAATTTGATTCAAGATATATATCATTGTACTTTGTTTGTTTTTGCTGCAGGAATCCACAATCCTTAATTTGATTCAAGATATATATCATTGTACTTTGTTTGTTTTTGCTGCAGGAATCCACAATCCTTNATTAAATAAGTATACAATTTTCTGCCAGATTCCTCATAATTATAATATGTTTATTGTTTAAGCTTTTTTATTATTTTTTATTTTCAGAATAAAACATGTTTGAAATTTGTTATTCACTGAAGGAGCTATAGATTAGAATAACAGGAGAACAATATTTATTTTTAGCTACTGTGTCTTCATATGATTTTTATATAAATACAAAGCCTGAAAAATTTAATTTTTTTGCAATCAAACCCTTAAAAAAAGTACTCTTTTTAAAAAAAATTTTCGCGGAACGGGGGGGCTAGCCCCCCCGTTACCCCCCCTAATAACTTTCAGATTTCGCCCCCCCCTCAGAAAAGGCCTAGTTGCGCCACTGCTTGATTTGATTCAAGATATATATAAGTGTACTTTGCTTGTCTGTTTGTCACTGCAAAACCATGGTTTGCACACTCTCACAAAAAAACACAAGTAGTATATTTCCAATTACTTCTTTTAAACTTAAGCTAGAAACAAGTGCGTTGAATCTTTAAGTGAATATGTCTAGTTCTACTAAAAGGTATAAGCTACTCAGTGAGGTAAAATCAAAGGCCAGGGCGACCCTTTAAAGTCAAGGCTGTCTAAAATTTTGATGCCTAACATTCAGAGTTGTCCATATTTCAGCATTGTTTGTTTGTAACCAAAAAACGTTAGAACGAATCAACCGATTGGGACAAATAATGTTGTGGGACCTCACCCCAGCAAGGATACTCAGAATTACAAAAAATTGTCTCCAAAATTTTTTGATTTTCGTAAAATTTTGAAAAGCAACGAAAGCAATTGTAAATCTGCAAAAAATGTTATTGTTTTATCGAAAAGGAAATGCTGAAAGAATATTAAAATATGTACGTAAGGCACCCTGATAGCCTGGTGTTATGTACCTGAAGCACCCTGATAGCCTAGTGTTATGTACCTGAAGCACCCTGATAGCCTAGTGTTATGTACGTGAAGCACCCTGATAGCCTAGTGTTATGTCCTACTTAATTCTACTACTATCACACGTACAATATAATTTTATATCATTTTCATTAATATTATTAATTTTTTTGCCCACCTCTTACCCTCTAGGCTAAATAAATTATTTCATACAGCCTACAGGAAGGAAGAACATGATAATTCAATTCAAACATTCCCTGAACTGGAAGTTTTTGCAACGAGAACTATTTTATTCATAAATGAATTATGATAATCTTATACATTTAATAATGTTATAAAATCAATACCTTATCTTTGGTTTATTTAATAAGTAGGAGAAGCCGTTTAACAGTGAACAGGATCATTCGTTCTATATACAGAGTGTCCCAAACAAAGGACAATTCAAGGGGTTGTTACCGTTTTTATGCGTTTAGAAGTCTCTCAATCTTATATAGCCGATGACCATGGATCCATTATAAATCTAATGGGTTGAAATAATGAATATGCCATTTTATCCTCAAATTTTATTATTATTCTGTCTGTAGATGTTATTTTATTCGAATTTTGAACATAGTTTCAATTTAGTTTAATTTATTAGTTTAGGTAGCGGGGTCTAAGGATAAGAAAAGATCTAAATCTAATTATCTGATCTTTTGCTTAATTCATTAATTAACATCGACGTGATACTAAATGTTTTCTATTTATTCTATTTCACTCTTATTTATTAAGAAAGATTTTAACTTTACATAAGCAGAATTTAGACACATAAATCTATATATAAATTTGGCTTGTCTGTTTGTCTGTTGTGATGTTTGTATCCAATAAACGTCAAAACGGCTGAACCGATCGGGCCCAAATTTTTTGTGGGACATCTAGGGACCCCAGGGAAGGTTTATGAATGATTAAAATTTTAAATATTTGTCTCAATCAAAATTCGATCGTCATTAAATTTTTTAAAATTTTGAAAATCCACGAAATTTTTTGTGAAAATCCGCGAATTATTTTTGTTTTGTTTTACGATGTACACAAAGAGAACATGTTCACAACTAATTTAGAAGATGGGCGCGAAGCGCCCTCTAAGGCTAGTACTCTAAATTTTGATTTGATAATAAGTTTAACAAAATAGATTTAGAATACAAATCACCAATCAGACATTTTGCATAATTTTTTATCATAATCTATTAATGTCTTTTTAAAGTTTTTCTGGGTTTTTAATAAGAGCCACGTTTATAAAAAGGTTTGAAAATTCTTATCCATTTAACACTTAAAATAGTGCAAAAATATCAAAAGATCAAGTGCCAAATGATCAAATGCCGAATTATACGGTACAAACGCAGTACATTTTAATTAGGTCTACAAGCTAGAAATGTAAACAAATCAGGGTAAAATCTTATAAACTGATCGTACTGCATTATTTATCTCAAAACCAGTTAAATTTCCACAAAAAACTATCAAGATAAGAAAGAGAAGAAAGAGAAGAAAGAGAGGAAAGAGAAAAAAGAGAGAAAAGAGAAGAAAGAGAGGAAAGAGAAGAAAGAGAAGAAAGAGAAGAAAGAGAAGAAAGAGAAGAAAGAGAAGAAAGAAAAGAAAGAGAAGAAAGAGAAGAAATATTCATGCATACCCTAAAATATTTTCTATATAATTTCTATTTCTATAATATTTTTGAAAAAGTTAGTAGCTGCCCCGACTGTTTAGCGTATACTTTTTTGATCATTTTAAGAGTTTTGATCATTTGGCATTTGATCTCTTGATATTTTTCCAAAATAGTCAACAAAGTTTACACACCTTAATTTGTTGGCGCATAGTGCCGATATAAAGACGATCAAAAAAGAAGTCAGAACGTTCTGGTACAACACTGAAACTCTATTTTTAGACCGGAGACTCTTCTGACTCATGCTATTGCGGACCCTCTGTAACCGAGAGCACTTTTTCTAGTTTCTGTCTGGTCGATACTTTTAATTTTCAATCCGTCTGACCGTAGAAGCCATGGATTAGTTTTTTTCAGAACAACATAAAATATTAAAAAGTTTTGATCTCAAGTGTCTATTTTTTATTCTCCATGCTGTTTAATCTTCTTGTGTTTACAACCAATCCAGTTTATCAGGAATACGAAGACTGTAATCATATCTGTAATTAAACAAATATAAGTTAATTTTATAATCTTGATGATAATAATAATAAAAAACATACCTAATAAAAATTCAGCTAAGATGATAATTATAACATTGATAGTATTAATACTACCTGGATGTGCGACGAAGATTGTTAAATCTCGTCTCTTCGTCGATAAAATCCTTGTAGGTTGTCGCAGTTTCTAAACGACCTACGCACAGATAATAATCATATACACAGATACAGATACAGATTACAGATACAGATAGAGATAGAGATAGAGATACAGATACAGATTACAGATTACAGATTACAGATACAGATACAGATACAGATACAGATACGGATACAGATACAGATACAGATACAGAATACAGATACAGATACAGAAAGGATAAAATATCACCTCTTGAGAGCTTAAGGGATTCCTTCCTTGGAAAAGCAGGTGTCCTAGAGTATGGAAGCTCAGGGTAATGTTCCTTAGAGCTCACCTCTCTAAATATATCATTATATAATTGAAATGGAAACATCTGTTTTAATAAATTCTATTAACATAATACAAGTAATTGAAAAAAAAATTGCGAAAAGGCAATTCTTTATTCGCCCAATCTTATCAGGTAATCCAGGTTTAATTCAATTTCGTATTATCAACAAAAACCTAAAGCTAAAGACCACTCGTAAATACACAAGAGTAATTCCTAGTTTTAAACCTATTCTCATTCAAATATTCCTTTGAAAAAAAATATTGTCCCCTTGGGCGAGGCATCCTAGCTCTTATTACAGCTCGGTGCCCCTAAAACTAACCTGGAGAAGTCCCCTTCCATCCTAAGATTACCACTGGGAAGAACTGGTTTAGGCCTGGCTTCAGCACGGGACCCGGAGAAATCTCTGTATGTTGACCTAGTCGTGGAACCAGCTGAAAACCTGGGGGAAAAATCTGAACAGTCTCTTTATTTAACTGATAAACTTTCCGCCATTAGAAGTTAGAAAGTGTGCTTGTGCAAACCTCCCTTTTTGCAATATTATCTTCGGTATTACACATTTCAGATAAAATATTAATATAGATGGTAACATTACGAACAACAAGATAGCACAACACACACTTTAACTTTAGAAACAATCCAGCTCTTTTCTTTTAGAACCTTTTTAACCCTTCCTTCTAGTTTTAAGTTCACGTAGATCCAGACTGCAATGAAAAGTTGCATATTTTTTTATGTTTTTGGGAGTTTTAATGATTTATGTATACAGTGTTTTTTAATGTATTCAACTATTTTTTATTTTTGTTGTCATGATTTAATATTGCATTGCAGGGTTGAGTATCCAGTAATTTATACCAAATTACAGATGGTTTTATCTCAGTCATCAGAGTTATGCTTGTAACAATTATCATAGTAAACCCTATATTTGTTAACCTGAACACACATAGATATATTACGTTGCACATTGTAACTAACTACATTGTAACTACGTCAAATCTGTATTGTGATAAGCCTAACTCAACTTGTATATAACGACGCAAATCTTGTAATCACGTCATTAACCTAACCTGTACCATAGAAATCATAATAAACATCAGTTAGAATAATACTCGATTAGGGTGTTAGATGAATTATATACCTCATGTATCAACGAGAGGGTTTGAGTTGTATCTTGTAAGACAGATACCAAAGTATACTGATAAAGTCTCATCCTGTTTGATATTGCCTGTAGTATTAATGAATTGTTTACTTCATGCTCACTTTCATACAAGTCATTCTTTTGGACTTACACAGGGACCATGCAGACAAGGGAATTTACTTCAATGGATCATACACATAAGGATTATTTTCGGGCACCACACTCATAAAGGGGTTCATTGCTTAGGGAAATGTATTTTGGGGTCACTACCAGGCAGTAGGTACCATGCATAAAGGGATTCACTTTTAGGGACCATGCATGTAGGGATTCCCTTTTAGATAGAAACCATGATCCCTCAGAAACAAGCATTTTGGGTTTTCATCTTTCTGAAATATATTTTGTGTGGGGTGCGGGGTTTGAACCCGTGACAGCTTATGTAGACGCCAAACCAGTTACTTTCTAACCGGTGGAAAAAAAAGCTTACATCAGTGATCTAGCCAACCCACATAAATGTTCAATATTGAGTTTACTTTGAAGTGTTGCACCACCTTTTTCCTTTAAAACTAACTCTCTGATACATTTGTATAGCCAGACATTTTAGAACTAAAAAATACTTATTTTAATCTTTAGTTATTAAGAAGTAGTTGGAAAAATTAAACAATATTTTGAATTTAACCTTTGAATCACTGAAAAAAAAACTACTTAACAAAGTTCAGCCTTTTAAGCTATTCTTTAAATAAAGCACAGAGCGTAGTTGGAAAAATTAAACAATATTTTGAATTTAACCTTTGAATCACTGAAAAAAAAAACTACTTAACAAAGTTCAGCCTTTTAAGCTATTCTTTAAATAAAGCACAGAGCGTTTTATTATTCTGATTTTTTTTCATCCATCAGATTTATTTGGAGGCCGGAAAAAGTTTATTCATTTTCTGAAAACGATTTAAAGTCATCCTGTGTTCCAGGAATTGAATTTATTTGAATAAATTCAGGAAATTGTCTCCGGATATTTAAAACTTTTCAAATTCTTCGCATAAATTCAAAATATTCCAAAATTTAAAAAAAAATCAGATGTATCTATTTTAACCCTATCCCCGCTGGGGTACTTGAAAACCAGGATACGCTGGGGGGGGGGGTCAATTTGACCCCCCCTCTAAATCCCATGTTTTATGTCCAAATATGACAAATGATACATCATTAGAAAGCTCTTGAAAAATGACCTATAAAAGCTATAGTTTCAAATTCAAATGAATACATTACAATGTTTTGAAGAACAAACTATCAGTGTACACGGGCATTGTATTGGCGCAAATCACTTGAGTGGACATTTATTTAAATGCAGAGTAGATTTATCAAAAATATTTCAATATTATTCAAAATTAGGCTTTTAACCCTATCCCTGCTGGGGTACTTGAAAACCAGGATACGCTGGGGGGGGGGGTCAATTTGACCCCCCCTCTAAATCCCATGTTTTATGTCCAAATATGACAAATGATACATCATTAGAAAGCTCTTGTGCTCTACTTTTAGAATCTGCAAAAAAATTTGCAAATTTGCGAAAATTGAATTTTTTATCGCAAAATCCAGTTTTATAGTAAAATGTTTGCAAAAAAATTTGTCCAAAAAATGACAAATTATACATTTTTGAAAAGCCCTTAACCATGCCATTTCAAATATGCAAAATTTTTTGCAAAATTTTAAATAACCTGATTTTTAATCAAGAAAAACTAAAAATGTGCAAATTTTCTTTGACAGGTTGTTTGCAAAAAAATTGCAATTTTTTTTTTCGGAAAACTTAAGCAATCCGTTTCCTTATGTCATAGGCTTTCCAAAAAGCTAAATTTTATCAAAATCTGACAAGTGAAAGTGGGTCAAAACAAAGATTTAGTTTGCTACAGGCAAAAGCAGTCATTCAGGCAGTGTGCCTGAGGACTCAGGCAGTTAGTATTAAAGCCCGGTTTTAGGCCTAAAGGGAGGGCTTTGGGTATGTAAGAAAAGTCAGAAAATTTCAACAGCCTCAGACCAATACTTTTTGAGCTATGTAAAAAAAACTATAGGGGGGGGGTCAAATTGACCCCCCCCCCAGCGGGAATAGGGTTAAAATTCTCAATTATTTATTTAAAAGTTTGAGGATCATTATTTTCAGATTAAATCCCAATTGATATTTGAAGCAAACAAAAACGAAAATAACAACCTTTTAAAGCAACTGAGTATTCTAAAGACCAAAATTATTTAAAATTTCAAGGATTTCGTCCAAAACTAAAACGAGTGCAAAATTTTTTATTAGTAACATTCTGTTTGTAATTTTGTTAAACTCAAAATGCTTTCGCGAAATTCGATATCCAAATTAAAAATATACATTGGTCTCAAGTACATACATTCAACATATTTAAGAAAATATGATTGTCGGAAGCTTAAATTATCTTCAGAAAAGAAAAAAATTAGTTTTTAAAAAAAATTCTCTGTTTATCTCTCACCAAAAACTTATGAACACCTTTTTTGCAAATATGACCCCTGATAACACTACCCAACCTTTAATCTATTTTCTAGATAAAATTTACCAATCCTTACTTAAACAAACAGGAATCTGAGTATACTTTAGGAATTTTCATTGATTTAACTAAAGCTTATGACACCTGTAATATAAATATACTAATCAAAAAGATAGATTATTATGGGTTAAGAGAGATATCAAATTGGTAGGGTTACAAAATTAATCAAAAGGTATAAAACGTTTACTTCAATCATAGGTGTAAATTCCTCATTTTGAAGATAAACTTTGTTGAGTTCCGCAGGGGTCAATATTGGGCCCAATTTTATTTTTAATCCTCATAAATGGCGTGTTTACGACTTGAGCTTTCAAAAATTGCAGACTGGCTAAAAGCAAATAAACTGACATTAAATGCCTCTCAAACAAAGTATGTAAGGAAATAGATATAATAGGGGCTGGTTGTAAAAATTAATCCTTTAGGTTCCTGGGAATACATCTTGACGAAAGCCTAACCTGGAATCACAATCTAAAAGCTATAATAAAAAGCATCTAGTGCAGTGTTTGCATTATCAATGTAAGAAATCTACTTTCAAACATTAAGCATACTATTTTAAACTCCATATTTCACCCTTTTGTAGAATATATGGAATTGCAGCCTGAGGGAGAAATAATATTGATTATTGATAAGGCAAAAATAGATTCACATAATAAACCCTCCTTATTTAACAAAACTCTTTAAAAACTTTGAGCGAGATCTTTATTATCAAATTGACATTAGAATATCTTCCCTCATAAACACTTCTTAAGATATGTGATAAACTCTTCCACTTGATTAAAATAAAAGTGCCTCGTTAGGCATATTCAAAGAAAGTTTATCCAACATGTTAATGTGGCACGCACCTACATCTTTAATAGCAATTAACCCTCTTGCTATACTTGCAAAAAATAAATGTAAATATTCGCAGATTTTGTACATCTTATTCCATTATACGTACTAAACTTGCAAGCACACAATACAATTAATTTGTAATTGTGCATCTCGGTCTCTATAATATCCGACTTATTGTAAACTTTCAAAACTTAGTAATATTCATCATATTGTAAACGTTTTAATATTAATTAGGTGGGGATAATTCCCAAAACAGCGAAAGCTAACCTCCACCTAAGTGCAATATTATACATATTACGTACATACAATAAACAATGTATAAATAGTTGGACATGTTTTTGCTTGTAACATTATAACTTGTATTACATTATTCGTGTAATTTCGATCTTTCCTCCTAATTGTTGAGTAATTTCCATTTTATCATTGAGTAGTTTCCGACTAACTATCAAGTGTTTTATAAAATATAGTTTCCATCTAAATATCGGGTTAGTTGAATATTTGAAATTCTCTGTAAGAAATTCTTTTCTTTTGTAAGAGCAAATAAACATGTTTTTGTATATAAAAGGTTTCCTAGAAATGCCAAACCTATTTTTAGATATCATTGCACCAAGACATTTTTAAATATTTATTTTATTTTATCCATAAAATTAAACTTATTGCGAGCTTAAACACACAAAATTTCCCATATCAATAAATGACATGGGAATAATGTTTTTTTGTTTGTCAAAAAAACGCGAACTATCTTTTTTAGAAAAAAAACCTTCATTAAATACAAAGTAAAACCCAGAAAACTGTCGAATAAATGTCGTCTTTGTTATTACTATTACTTAAGAAATGCCAATAAGATTCTAATATTTTCCATTTTCTGAACGAAATATATTTCGAAAGATGATTGTCCAAGGCACATTTTGAGAAAAAAGAAGACGTTCCACTGTAAAAATTACACTTTTTGGAGGAATCTTACTTTCTTGACCATATAAAAACTTTTGGCATTGGTACCCCTGGCTCCTTTACTGTATTATTTCTTTCCAGTTTCTGACACTTTTATTTTTCAAAATATTTTATTTAAACAAATATAAAAAGATTCCAAATTTTATTTTGAAGAAGGAGAATGAAGAAAACAGAATATAAAGATGGTTTTCATGTTTTTTAATGCTTTGGATGCAAACTTGTTACCCTCACAGCATTCATTTTATTTTCAAATATTTTTCGCAACTTTGCTCGTTCAGAAAACTTTCTGTTCAGGGGGGGGGGCAGACTATCTCAGACAAAAAAAAGAAGAAAATGAAAAATGAAAAAAAGAAAACAAAAAATTAAAGAAAAAAATTTAAAAAGGGAGAAAATTGGCCTTAAATCTTATTTTTGTTACCAATACTATGCATGTGTCAAGGATTATTTTTCTTGAAATCAAATAAAAGTTGCATGCTTTCTAAAACAAATTATTCCGGAATTTTTATTTCTATCATGTCTTGTAAAATGATAAGGGTTGAATTATTTTTTTATATTTTGAGGAGTTATCCCTTTCCCTTGTTTTAGTAGATAATTTATTCTAATGAACCAATACATGGAGACAAATTTAAATTATATATAAAATATGGCCCGGTTTATGAGAAGCTGTTTGTTCTCATCTTCAAACTTGAAGGAGAGTTTTCTTTTCGAATTTTAGTTTTGGGAAACTGAAGATTTTAATGCTTGAGCTTTTCTTGATCTTTACAGGAATTTTTATCCTTTACTTTCCCTTTTTTAAAAATAAGTATTGGATATTCGTGATTAAAATTTCTTAGTAATACATTTTTTTATAGTTAAACTCAAATCACATCTCCTCTCAAGTTTTTTGGTTTTATGCAAAAAGCTTCTCAATAGCAACAATTATAAGGTTTCAATAATTGAAAACGAGGAATAAAAAAGGAAACTATAATATAAAGTTTCCAAAAAAAATGGATTATTTCATTAAAATATAGGAAATAATTTTCTTACATTAAAAATGAGTGTAATTTCAACCTTTATTTATACCTTGAGTCTATAGGCCTGGATCTGGTATAAGGATGAGTCGGAGAAGACCCTGAACCTGAGCTTGGTATGGATCTATCACTCATAGAGCTAACCGTAGAGTTAGGAGACAGGGATCCATGTTTTCCAAAACTAAAATAGAAATAGAATTCCACATCATCTTAATCATGAAGAACCGCGGGACACCAAAAATTACTTTTAAATGTAGTTTTTAGAAATTTCATATAACCAGGAAAACTTAGGTAATGAGTATTTTTTTTAATTAAATGTTTAAGGCATCTTTATATATAAAATATTAATCTCTGTTTTGGTGTTTGTTTCAATTTTTGGTGTTTGATTCAAATTTTGATCAGGGAACTCCAATCCTAGTTTAGCTTGGTTTAAAAGTTTGAAATTGAGAAGGTTCCCAAGCGAGTTTAAAATATTTTATGATATTTTTGCTAAGTAGGAGCAGGAACTACCAGTTTTCCGAAACTGATATTTTAATGTTTTTTTTTTATTATTAAAATAATAACTCCTTCAAATATTCTACTCGGCTCCGCAATGATGGTTGAAAACTATCTTAGAAATGCAATTTGAAATTTGCAACACATTAATTTTCAAAATGCAAAATGCAAATAAATGCATCAGTGCCAATTTTTCAAATTACCATTATCACAGAAGAGCTATCAACGAAAATATAGCCTCAATTCTTTCCTTTCGCCACGACTTAAAATATCATATTTTATATCAGAGAGAAAATAAAAACAAAAATTAGAAATATATCCCCCAGAATCGGTAATGGCTTCGAAAAAATTGCGAACTAAGCTTTTTAATTTTAGAAATTTAATTTAAAATCCTGAAAAATAACAAAGGAAAATTAATTTAATTTAAATTTGAAAAATCAATAATGTTTGTTGACCTGTTAAACTGATCTTTAAACTCTGTTCTAGATACTAGAGGACCCTCCACTGCTCTACCTATATATTGACTTTGAAAGGAATTGTAATTTTGTAAACGTAAGTTCAAGTGACTTCCCATTTACAGAGTGGAAGGTCGGATTCTCAACGGTTGGTCTGATTAAGATCAATGAAACTGACACATACATATTTTATTCTTTGAAACATGCTTATTTTCAATTGGGATTTCTCCATAGGGTTAATTGCGGATATCTGCTTCAGAAACAATGTAGTAAATTGTTAGATTAAACATTATTGATCAGATACATGTTGAAAGGATTGTTAAGAATCGTAAATACGCCCTTCAAAATTTAGGTAACTTAAAATTACAACGATAGCCCTTGTTATTGACATCAATCATCCCATTTTTCTAAAACCTACAATCCTTTATTTCTGATAAGAAAGGAATTGAATCTTTACCACAAATACAGTTTTTGTAAAACCTATATCTTTGCAACCTTATGACGTAAACCTTTGATATTTCAATCTTACATTATTTGATCTAATAGCGTTCATAGTTTGAAATATTAAAGGTTGTAACGATATTGAATTTTGAAAATCAGAGTTTGTGGCAAAAACTCAATTCCTTATTTAAATTGTTTAGTTTAAAATAATACAAGAGTATAATTTTAATTTCATTCATTTCTACAATTCTAGATAATAATCGAATAAATATACCAGAATATACAAAGAACTGTGTTTTGTATGAATGGAGAAGGATAATAAAACTATCTAAATTCTGTTTATGGGTAACAAGAGGCACATTCATTATATTCTTTATATTCCTTCCATTCCTTACTAAAACTAAATTCCTTTACACTAGCAAGCAGCAACCATGATATCCTATATATTCAAATCTCAGCTATATACTTAAATGCCCCAGAAGTATTCCGCCCCACTTCAAGATAAACGATCTAAACCTTCCTCCAGGTGTAGCAGAGCAAATCCCCCCCCCCCCCCCCATGGATATAGTAAACCTGTAGTTAGAGAAGCAGATCTAAACCTTCCTCCAGGTCTAGCAGAGCAAATATCTCTCACGGAATACGCACGATACTCCTAAATTGTTAAGAAATTCCTTATATATATGTATTTACATATATTCACATATATAAAATTTAATTCAATGTAAAAAGTTTTATTTGTGCTGTTTTATATTAAAAATAAGTGATTTCTGAGGTCGAATTTATCAATTTCAAAAAAATATTGATTTGGGCATTAAAAAGATGCGTATTTAACAGACTTTACAATTTTAACATATGAAATCAGTGCTACATGGACGGATATTTTAATACGATAATTAATATAATTTTTTAATTTTTTTGACATGAATTAATCTACACAAAGCATAGATTTCCGAATTAATGAGATAAAAAGTTTCAACTGTATTAGAGAAAAGTTTAACACTAACATTGGTGCAGAAATTGGATTTGAGCCTTTTCATAAAGAGGGTTAAAACATGATTCACATTTTCTTTGTCAAAAAATATCTTTCTGTCACAGGAAAATCCTGATGATTGCAAAAAGTAGTGCTTGGGATTCGGATCCATTGGATCCACAGCATTTAAGCTTCCTCGATCTAGATTCAGATCCGCAAAAAAATGGGAATCCACGGATCCAAATCCAACGAATGAAGTATCAACCAAAACATGCTAAAAACAAATATCAACTGTCAACTAATGAGGGAAAAACTTCCCAATTTCTGTAGTTTCATCAAATTTTATCAAACAAATAAGTGAAAAAAGAGAAAATTTTTGATTTTTATCATTTGTTCAAAAAAATTGTAAATATTGAAGAAATACTTGTGACCTGGATCCGATTCAATTTTTTAGGTATCCAGGATCTAGATCCGGATCCGGATCCGAATCCGCATTTAAATGAAATGAATCAAAAAAGACCTGCAATGCAACGTTCTGACATATTAAAACCATTTTCAAGTCAAATTTGTATATAATCAATTTGTTTACCAGAACATTTTTAAAAAAGGTATTAATATTTTTTCAAAAAAGGGGTTTTTAAGGGGGGGGGACCAATGTTGCCAAGGGGGGGGACCAAAAAATTTTTTTTGCGCGCTTATGCGCGCAAATTGTGCCCCCCCATAGACAAATGCCCTCGTACGCGCCTGTGTCTGGAATTCGCTTTTAGTGTTCATACTAGTTTTTGACCTTGTAAACTTTCAAAATCTTTGTAAATCTCAGGTGTTTTCTTAAAACCTGTAAACTGAACAGTGTATAGCGTTGTCATAACTCATAGTTACTGAGTAAAGTTTCAAATAAATTAGGAAAAAGTAAAAATGGTATATCAGTTATAAACATTGCATATTCTAAACATCAGGCTCAAAGAGGGTTTTCTTTGGTAAACTAGATTTGATTTTGCAGTCTTGATTTTGATATTACATCACAGGCAAAAAAGGTTTCGAAACTTTTTTTTCGTTGAGCTGATTGCTAAATTTAGATTAGAAACCCGATAAAAATTGAAAATTAAATAAGCATGAAGCTTAACAAAACCTTTTAAAAGATATATGTTAAATTCAGTCATAAACTCATTTCTTTATTGAAAAAATTGAATTTCTAGGAAAACTTTTAAATTTGTTTACCCTGATAAATATAAAGTTGAATTTTAAAAAAGAAAAGAGCTAATAATACGGAAACTATTTTAACATTTTCAAAGTTTGACTGTATTCTAGTTAGTTTACCTGAAGTTTGACTGTATTCTAGTTAGTTTACCTGAAGTTTGACTGTATTCTAGTTAGTTTACCTGAAGTTTTTCAGGGGAAAACTCTCTATCTCCCTCAATGCCTATCCTGATAAAAGAAATCTGTCAAGTACAGCTTTAAGAAGAAAATAGATAAAAATAGGATGAATAGACATATAAGAGCCATTCAGACACTCTTGATAAAGTTTTGATCTCACAAGTATAGTTGATGGATCTATATGTAGATATTTTATCTGAATTATAAATGAATTGTTTTAGACTGAACATTACAATTTAGAGACGACCAAGCATGAACTGAAGAAGCATGAAAGATTATTATTGAAATGATATTCTTTATAACATTATGGCATTTTACTGCTTTGAAGGGTATATATTACTTGTTTATTTAACTAGGTATTTATATTTAATATTGTCATAACTTAGATTTACAATCCAGACTTAGTTCATCGTGGTTTTATACCTAAGTGAGGGTTGAGGAACTACGGGATAGGATCGTGACATACTAAACCCATCCTAAACAAACAATATTTAATCATTCAGAGTCCAATACGAAAGAATAAAAGTTCCAGCTGAAATACTAAACGTGAATTAATCTAAAATTATAGTTTAAATCCACGCTTTCTCTGATCATTTTCTATCAATCAATCATGATTCTCTGGAAAATGTTGTAGCGCTCTAGTATTCATTCAACCCCTTTTCATGTTGTAATATGAGTCTGCGATTAAATTTAAATCAACCCTGAATCCATTTTCATTTGATAGAACCCGTGAATTATTCTAAACTTTTACTACAAATTTGCACGCTTTTTAACACAATACTTTTTTCTGTAGATTTTTTGATAATAACCTTTATGTAATCCCAGAATGTCTTCTTAATGTTGACAGTGTAGTTTTATAAATCTAAATTTTGTAAAACTGTAAACTTTTGTTTGGACGGAATAAGTTCAGCTTAATTATTTCACTTCTCCTTCACAGGGAATTTAACCATCCAATCTCTTAGAAGTGAAAGTCGGGAATTCAAATATTGAAAGATGTTGTTTGATCGGTGTGAAAGATTTAAGCATCTTTCTATTTCTAAAGGAATTGATTGAGTCTTTGTCACAAACTCAAATTTTATCTTTGCAACTCGATGGTCTAAACCTTTATTAGCTAAAGCTTAGACTTTTTGAACAAACAGAATTCATATTTTTTTGAATATCTAAGGCCTCTGATTGTCTAATCCGTATGTCTTTGCAAGATATAGTGATTAAGATTTAAAAAAACGAGTTTGTGATAACGATTCCTATCCCTATCTAACGAGCTAAACTTTTTTAAATGGTTCAGCTAAGGAGATTAGGTAGTGATAGAAAATGAAAATAAAAAGATTTTATTGAGGTTGAATTAGCTTTAGTATTCTATATATATACTACTGTCTAAGTTAGAGTCGGGTAGAAAAGTTGGCCCAAATTCTCGGTCCTACAATTTAAACTTTCACCAAAATAGTATAGACGATATCTTCAAATAAAGGTATATATGCATAAAGTAAGAATGCAGTTTTCTTTCTAAACCAAGAAACATCGTATCTTTGAAAACGAGTCTCCCTTAAAGCATTCAACATGAAGAAAAATCAAAACTTTAATATGTAAAAGTTGATGATCTATGCAAATATTATGTATTTATAAAAAGATTTTAGTTTTATCAATTATTGGTAATATTGGCTTTTCTCTAGGTCTTTTCAAAAGTACCACCATTCTGTTCAATACAGCAGTTTTGGAGAGAAGACTGTGTTCTAACGTCTTTTTTTATTCATTCATCATTTTGAAATAGTTTCACAAATGTATTGTTTTAAAAAAGTACTTGACGATTTCCTACTTTTGTTGGGTTTTTATCTAACAAAATGAAAAAAAGACAACCATTCCTGAAGACATGTTCTACTTGCTTTTTGGTTTGTGTTTAATAAACGTCAAACCTTGGCTGAATTTTAAATTTTAAACCTTTTAAATATTGTCGGGAAATATACCAAAAAACAGTCTAAAAATAATTTTTTTTCATAATGTAGCAACGAACTTATGTTTTAAAGTGAAGTAGCAGTTGGAAGATAGAATTATTATAAAAGAAAAGGAGGCGTGGAGCGCCCGAGCAGGCCAGTATTTTAGATTTGTAATCACTGCATGGCAAGTTTTTCAAATTCTAAATAAACAGGGTGACGGAAGCAAACAGTCTAGATCCTTAAGTATTATGGTAATCCCTGTACAGAACCTTTTTGTTGACATGCTCTGAATAAATAATATTCAAACAAACCAAAATAGTTAATTGTTTCTCTCAGGAAATCCGTGAAACATGGTTGTATTGTGGATGATGGATTCAGGTCAAATTATCAAACTGTCATTATGTTTACCTATCAGATTATTTGTAAGAGGTAGAAAGATAGATAGATAAATATGCAATATTTATATTTACAGTGGCGACTTAAGGGCGGGGGGATACAGGGCACAACTTTGATTTTTAAAAATAGTTTTTAAATTTTTTTCTGCGACGCACTTTCATCAATCATCAATCAAAATGAAGATTTTTCATTAAATTTAATAAATCCAAAATTTTGTAAACCCCCCCCCCAGATTGTGATGGTTTTGACATAAAAATGGCCAAGTTCCGAGCGTAAAATTCCAAGGAGGGATGAATATTTTGCCGGGTATAGTAAAATATTTTGGCAAAATAATTCAATGAAAAATATTGTAAGCCACCCCTGCACATATATACTTTTCAAACAATCACTTCATGATGGGATTTGCCAAGCCATGTTTAATGGCAACCCAGATGTTTTTTTTTGGTATGATATCATGTTTTCCAACCATGCATTACATTTTTTTCAACAACAGACTTTTAAACTTTTCCCGCACTTCCTTTCATGTTTTATAAAAACTTTTTCCGCAAAGTTTTCTATTTTAAATTGAATTTTCAAGCTAAATCTTTGAGCTCCAGGATTGGAAATATCAAGGTCCAAGGAAGAATTTGAATCAGTAACGGGTGTGATAGCGAAATATTAAAAAAAGCATTCTGAAATCTTGACTTTGGTAAAAAAAAAGCTAAATGAAGGCGATTTAAAAAATTTAGATATTTATAACTAGGTTGAAATCTTAGCTTTTTGTTGCTTCAGTCTTAAGAATATATTTATAAATTTCGACATGTCATATCATATTTTAATAAGTTTTCAGAAAAAAATGCCGTTTTTACAAAGATTCAACAGACAACGAAAAAAACATCAAGCCAAATATATGTATAAAATATAGATTACCTCGGTGAATTTATAATTTCTTTGTGTGGTTGAGATGTCATTTCCATCATGCCGCGTTTTGTCCCTTAAAAAATGTCTTTGAACAAAATATTGGAACTCAATTCCCTAGTTTTCTTTTCCTCTTGTCAAATTCTTAAACAAAGCGCATGAAAAGAATTTTTTATGTAACAACAGTTTAATTCTGGATTCTTTTCAAAATCATATTACCTTGAGGCTTAAACTACTATATGCGAATATACGTCATTGAATGCCAAAATAGTCGAAAACTTTATCAAGTATAAACATGCAAACAGAAATCTAAACTGAACTTCTTTCTTTTTACAGTTTTCCTGGTTTTGGTGAAATTTCATTTCTTTCAAGATGCTCTCTTTGATCGTTTTCTTTTCTGTGAGGAATTCAAGAAAATCAGGATTAAAATTGGCGATAGGCGATAGTGGATAGTGGACAGTGGATAGTGGAAAGTGGATAGTGGGTAGTGGATAGTGGATAATGGATAGTGGATAGTGGATAGTGGATAGTGGATAGTAGATAGTGGATAGAGGATAGTGGATAGTGGATAGTGGATAGTGGATAGTAGATGTAGATAGTGGATAGTGGATAGTGGATAGTGGATAGTGGATAGTGGATAGTGGATAATGGATAATGGATAGTGGATAGGGGATAAGTGGATAGGGGATAGTGGATAGTGGATAGTGGATTGTGGCTAGTGGATAGTAGATAGTGGATAGTAGATAGTGGATAGTGGATATAGTGGCTAGTGGATATTTAATAGTGGATAATGATTATAGTGGATAGTGTATATAATAGATAGTGGATACTTGATAGTTGATAGTTTATAGTGAATATTGAATAGTGTATAGTGCATATTAGATAGTGGATAGTGGATAGTGGATAGTAGATAGTGGACAGTGGATAGTAGATAGTAGATAGTGGATAGTGGATAGTGGATAGTGGATAATAGATAGTGGATAGTGGATAGTGGATATAGAAGATAGTGGAAATAACTAGTGGATAACAATTATAATGGATAGTGGACAGTGAATATAAAAGATAGTGGATAGTGTATAGTGAATAGTAGATAGTGGATAGTGGATATAATGGATAGTTGATAATACTGGATAGAGGATATAATAGATAGTGTATAGTGGATAACGGTTATATTAAATAGTGGTTAACGGTTATAGCGGATAGTGGATAGTGGATATTTGATATTTGATAGTGGATAGTGGTTATAATAATATTGGATAGTGGATAGTAGTTAACGGTTATAGTGAACAGTGGATATTTAATATTTGATAGTGGATAGTGGTTATAATAATACTGGATAGTGGATAGTACATATAATAGATAGTGTATAGTGGATAGTGGATAGTGGTTAACGGTTATAGTGAATAGTGGATATTTGATATTTGATTATGGATAGTGGATAGTGGTTATAATAATATTGGATAGTGGATAGTAGATATAATAGATAGTGTATAGTGGATAGTGGATAGTGGTTAACGGTTATAGTGAATAGTGGATATTTGATATTTGATAGTGGATAGTGGATAGTGGATGATAGTGGATAGTGGATAGTGGATAGTGGACAGTGGAAAGTGGATAGTGTATAGTGGAAAGTGGATAGTGGATAGTGGATGGTGGATAGTGGATAGTGGACAGTGGATATAGTAGATCGATAATGGATAGGTGAAAGTGGAGAGTGGATAGTGTATATTGAATAGCGGTTAGTGAAAATAGGATCGTGAAAAGTGGATAGTGAATGATGGATAGCGGATATCCTGATGAAAAGAGATCGCGTTAGCTCTTCTTTAATGGTCAAATAAAGATGTTAATGAATTTAGTCTTTTCTAGTAATTCAGGACTTTTCAGGAACAGCTTTCTTTTCATGGTTCATGTACTAGTACAACACATATAAAATTTTAAATAATGCTAACAATTAAACATATAAAATTTGAACGTTTCTAAAATGGTTTGATTGTTTTTAGTACAAGTAAGCTCGTAAAAAATCCCACTTTTTGATGTTTTTTAACAGAAAATCATCATTTAACAAATAATTAAACAATTTTCGAAATAGAACCTCATAATGTTGATTTTCGTTTATTCTTTGGCATAAATTTCATAATTGGGTTTTATAACTACAGTACATATATGTACACACCGTCATAATATTCTAAATATAAATTTGGCTTGTCTGCCTGTTTGTCTGGGTGTCTGGGTGTTTGTTTCTTTCTTTCTTTGTATCCAATAAACGTCAAAACGGCTGAACCGATCGGGCCCAAATTTTGTGTGGGACCTCACGGAGCCCCAGGGAAGGTTTATGAATGATCAAAATTTCAAATATTTGTCTCCATCAAAATGTTCACAATTAATTTAGGCTAGTATTCTATATTCAAGACATTTCCGTCTGCCAAGTCTTTTATATTATGAATTTCTTCAGGAGTAACATACAAGATTGATTGGAAAACTATATTAAATTCTTTCCGTAATTTTGTCAGAATTGAAGCTAATTGGATTTAGGATATATTGGATATATTGGAGAAGATTTGGAACAAATATCAAATGGTTGTTTGTGATATTTTCATTAGATCTCATTTGTATTAAAAATTTAGAAAGCTTTCTTTCGATTTAGTAGGAACTGTACTTGTAAACCTTATTAAATTTTTTTTATTTGGATGGATTTCTATTATTCTCAATTTAAAAGGAATATACACAGTTGGATAGATTCTCAGATAAATTGATTAAACCAAATCAAATAAAAACCAACTAGAAATCAGTTCAATACTCAACAAGAGAAAATAAGTTTTAATCCATTAAATCAATTTCAGATTTTTTTTTTTCTAAAGTTTCCTGATTTTCAGTCAAAATTTGATTGTTTTCCACTTGAATTCACGGTAATTTAAGTACATTCCCTGTAATTATAAGTTATTGGACGGGTCTCTAGTTAGTGGAAACTTTTATTTTTATTACTAAATACAACACTTTAATTAAAACTTAGGAAAACTTTAAAAGTCAATATTTCAAACGGAAAGTTTTAGTTGAACTACCCGGAGGTTTGAAAAGGTAAATATCGTTATTAAATTAAAGGGGGGTATTCAATGATTTTTCAAAAGGGTAATAAACTAATAATAAATAATAAATCTAAATTTTATTTTCGAAACTTTTTTGTTCGATAGGATGTTTCTTTTCATTTATTTAAGACAAATGTAAAACCGTTTAAGCAATCTTCTCTAAAATTCCACTAAAAATTAGAACTTGATAGCAGACAATTCTCGATAAATTTTCCTGTATCATTATTTATTGAATATTTGTTTATAAAATACCTGATCCTAGAGAAATAGTTTTCCATTTCCTTTTCATTCTTTAGATATTCTTCCACTTTACGCAGCCTGTATATAATATCAATATCAATATCAATATATACATAACAATATCAATATCTATATATATGCAATACCAATATCAATATCTATTTATATGCAATACCAATATCAATATCAATATATACATAACAATATACCAATATCAATATCAATATATACATAACAATATCAATATCTATATATATGCAATACCAATATCAATATCAATATATACATAACAATATCAATATTAATATATATATCAGACCAACATCAATATCAATATCAATATCAATATTAATAACAATACCAATATCAATATAAATATTAATATCAATATCAATACTAATATTGATATATAAAATAAATGTTAAATTGCTACCTATTTCTACCTCTGTCCCCTCCCAACTCATCTGCCCCTCTACCCCTCACAACATCATCCTAAAGTTAAGTTAGAAAAAAAAGGTTTTCTACATTCATTTATCATTGTCGATTACCATCATGATTAACGTCATATCATTTATGATCTTTAATTATTTATAATATTATAAATATTATCTTTATTTAATTTATTGTTCTTTTTGTTTTTATTTTCATCATAAGTTATTATATTTTAATGTAACTAGAAATTCAAGGCGCTTCGCGCCCTTCTTTCTAGCCTTAGAGGGCGCTTCGCGCCCATCTTCTAAATTAGTTGTGAACATGTTCTCTTTGTGTACATCGTAAACAAAACAAAAATAATTCGCGGATTTTTACAAAAATTTCGCGGATTTTCAAAATTTTTAAAAATTTAATGACGATCGAATTTTGATAGAGACAAATATAGATGTCTACGATCATTACCAAAAAGCCTTTGCAACAAATTTCCGAAACTATCTTTGCTTTTATTTCAATTAAACATTTTTTCTTTGTATAAATAATTTTGCAGATTTTATGAAAAAAGTTCGTGGATTTTGTTAGAGTCTATTTCTTGAAATTTTGATCCTCCATAAACCATCTCTGGGGTCCTGTGAGGTTCCACAAAATATTTGGGCCGGATCGGTTCAACCGTTTGACGTTTATTGGATACAAACAATCACACAAACTTGGACAGACAGACAAGCAAAATATATATATAGACATATGATTGTTGCTAGAAGATACAGAAAGCCAGTGATTGCTGAATCATAAAAAGTTTTAAAAGTTTGATTAAATTTAGAAAGAAACCGAGAGGATCTATTCACTATACCTAAGTTAGAAACGGTGATAAATATTTTCCATAAAAGGAAACGGGTATAAAATGCCAAGGCAATACATACTTTTTACTCAGCCTTTTTACTCTTAAACATTATTTTTTTTTTTAATATTTATTAAAGGGACTAAATTCTGAAAACTTTTTTATAATATTCCTGAAAAGGGACAACTGAAGGTGTAATTTCAAAATTTCATCTTTGTAAGATCAAGAACAAATGAGATATCCTTTTTTTCTGGCTATAAATTGATTTTTATTATAAATTGTAGTTTCCCTACCATGATGTGATATAAACAATGAAGGAAATAAACAGAATTTAACACTTTTCTGTATAGAAAAGCACGAGATCTTCAACATTGTTATTCACATATTGTAAATCAGATTATATGGTTGAGTTGTACCTTTGAAATTACTGCTACCGCGCCTTTAATATATGTTGTTTATCATTTGAATTATATTTAATAATTATTTGAATTAATGTTTTTATTATTAATAAAAAAATTACCTGGAACTGTCTCTCTGCAGTAAAATTACTTCCGTTATATTTGTCCATAACTGCGGATACTTCCTAAAATATATTTTTATGAAATATTATTTCTGACAATATTCAAATATTTTCTCAGCTTGGTTTCCGAGTTAGGAATCCTGCAATGATTATCAGAAGTCAGCTGAGTTTGCAAAATTGGCACTGCAATATATATTTTTACTAGAATCATTTCAGAGGAATGCCAAAAATGTTAAGCCAAGTGATTATATGTATTAATCTATATGTATCATATAAAGAATTTGAGTCTTTACCACAAATTCAAATTTTCCAATCCCTATATCATTGCAACCTAATGGTGTAAACCTTTGATATTTCAATCCTAGGTATTCTAATCTAACATAATTCATAGTTTGAAATATCTAAATAATATATATTTGGCTGCAAAGATTTAGGGCTACGAAAATCAGAGTTTGTGGCAAAAATTCAAGTCATTAATTAGATATTGAATTACAAAACATTACATAAATATGAATATTTTTTTCCCAATACAAAGTGACATGGGTCGACTTTATTATTAATCTATGTTCAAGGAGAATAGAATATATATTAGATGGTAATTTACTAGAAAAAAGTGTAAAACGGCCATTTTGTTGTACTGTTTCCATACTGCAGGTGTACTTCACATACTTATGCTATATAACCTTTTGGGCCCTTGAACATCATTTTATAGAAAATCTAAAATTAATGTTTAAAGAAAACCAAATAATTGACCAATGATCATTTCACATAGACTCAATGCCTTTCACTTTACAAACGATGATTTTCCGTTATAACTTTAAATCAAATGATGTTTTTTATTCACCTAATTCATTATAAAGTTTATTTAACAGCTTTAAAAATTCGAAATTGAAATGAATAGTTTAGGGTTCATACTGTCTTAATGTACTCTATACTGCTTATAATTTGTGAACATTTGCATGATTTGTACACTTTGAACTCCCTTTCAGGCTAAAAGGGACTGAAAAAATTCATACCGAGAGATTCTTTAATTCCACTCTAATATATATTCTATTCTCTATGTCTATGTCCTATCCTATAAATGTAGTCAGACCTTTAACATGCGGTCTTGGAAAATAAATATTTGAACAGAAGAGAAATTTAGAATAATTCTCTTTGGTTTATGATTTATATAGAGTAATTATTCGATTAAAAGTAACATTACCAGAACCCGTAAAAAATGAACATGGAACTCTTACCGTTTTTCCCTGCTATTGGATTTTACCAATTTTCAAGAATGCTTTTTGGAATAAAAACACTGTATGGCGCATCTTAAAGCGGATTAGGTTCAAAATCCCAATACCCAATGTCTAATTTTCTATACCTCTGCAACCTGACGTTATAAATTTTGAAATACACCAAAGGGTTGAAATGATAAAGACAATTAGAGTTTTTAGCAAGAATTCAGTTCCTTTGTTTCTATAAAATATTTATAGAAATAATTGTACTTGAATATATGATTCTGTTAAAAGTACAGATTGGTTTAATTATATAGCTAAGCTTTCGTTAGTATTAGATAGATCTGCCAAGTCTTGAAGGACGTTAAAAGGTTTTGAAAGTTTGCCAAAGCTGTAAAATTTCAGAGAAAAGTAAAAGAGAAAAGCATTTTCTCCAGATTTAGAGATATAAAAGATATCAACTGTTTTCTTATTAGAAAGCTAAGATAGTTGATGGGATCAAAAAGAATAATTTATTAAATTATCATACCAAGCTAGCTCATGTGGTCGGACAGGAACCAAAAATCAAGCAGAAAGAAAGGAATTGAGTCTTTGCCTGCAATAACTCAGATGTTCTAATCCCAATACTTGTGCAACCTGTGGCCAAATTTAATGAATTTGAGCGGCGGTTTAAATTTAAGCCGCGGCTTAAATATCGTTGGTTCCACTTTAAATTGTATCAAATGTTTCAAGATTTAAGCCGGCGCTAAATTTAAACCGGGTTTTGGCGGATTTTGGCGGATTTAAACCGCGGCTCAAATTCTTTAAATTCCATCTCGGATTTTGTAAAACTTAGATATTTCAAACTACAAATTCTAATGGATCAGATAATCTAAGCTTAAAATTTTAAAGGTTTACATAATCTGGTTTCAAAGATATGGATGGAAAAATTTTAATTTGTGGTAAAGATTTAATACCTTTGTTAAAAATCAATTCATACGTCGGGGATAAGATTACTAAAAATTTATAAAATATTCCTTAACTCTTTTTTAATCTTTGAGCTACGGAGCAAGATTACATCTTGATATTTTTTTAAACTTTTAAACCTCCCAACATCATAATCATTATAACATTTTTTTAGTGGATTTGCTTAGAGAAGTCGAAATAGTATTATGTATTACATTCACAATCCCTTTATGAACTCTCAGGACAATTTCCCCCCCGCCCCTTCCCCCTCCCAAGGAGTATCAGGGGGGGGGTCAGCAATATTGAGTTCACACCATAAACCTTTTATTCGAGACAAATTGACTTGGTCGAGTGAGTTATTTTTTTAAAAGAAGTCTCTGATTCAGATTAATGTTGTGTTGAAGTTCTGAAATATGACGGAAAACTGGTAATTACCGTGAAAACTCTTAAAATGATATTTTACACACAAATCAGAGCCCAAACCAATACTTGGGCGGGCTTGTGGCACTACATCTTTAATTAATGGTAGTTAGAATCTATCTATATATCTTGAATCTGTTATAGTTTTGTGTAAAAAAGCTATAAATGATATTTTTTCCCAAAATAGTTAGCTTTAACAAAGACGACATTCTAAATATATTGCAGATTTACAGGATCCATTCAAGGATAAATATATGAACGGGAAAAGTAATTATAAACTGAAATCATTATAAATCAATGCTAGCTACAATTGATACAATGTTTGTAAATGAAAAGATTATCTGCAGTATATATTCATTTTGTCTCATCATGAAACACAAGACAAATGCATTTTAATAGGAGTATTGTGGCAAAAGTCAGTCAACCTCTTCCCCTCCCCTTGACCCCCTAAAATATCACACTGTGCCCCCCTCCTTCCAACCTTATCACACGAAAATAGCCCGACTGGGATAAGGTTTTTCTAAAGAATAGGTGGGAGAACAATATTGAAGTTGTAAACCTGGTGGATCCAGTGCAAACTGACTTTATACTTAGATTAAATGGTGTATAGGATTGAGATAGTAAATTTAAAGTTAGAACATCTATATATATTCCAGTTTAAACATTATCAAAACCAAGAAAGTACAATTAAAGACAATTGTAGTCAATGAAAGCTGTTCAACATCAAGTAATATTCTTGTGTATTGATGTATTAAGATTACTGTAAATATTTACAAATAAATATAAGAATGTCTAGCTGAATAACAAATAAATATAAGAATGTCTAGCTGAATTACAATTGAATACAATTATGTTTACCTTAATAATAAATAAATACAAGAATGCCTACCTGATTTACAAATAAATACAAGAATGTCTAGCTGATTTACAAATAAATACAAGAATGTCTAGCTGATTTACAAATAAATACAAGAATGTCTACATGAATTACAAAGAGAAAACAAAAATGTCTACCTGAATGACAAATAAATACAAGAAGGTCTACCTGAATTTAAATAAATACAAGAATGTCTAATTGAATTTAAATAAATATAAGAATGTCTACCTGAATTTAGATAAATACAAGAATTTCTACCTGAATTACAAATCAATGCAAGAATGTTCACCTGAATTTAGATAAATACAAGAATTTCTACTTGAATTATAAATCAATGCAAGAATGTTTACCTGAATTACAAATAAATACAAGAATATATACCTGAATTATACATAAATACAAGAATGTCTACCTGAATTACAAATAAATACAAGAATGTCCCTGAATTAAAAATAAATACAAGAATGTCTACCTGAAATACAAATAAATACAAGAATATCTACCTGAATTACACATAAATACAAGAATGTCTACCTGAAAAACACATAAATACAAGAATGTCTACCTGAATTACACATAAATACAAGAATGTCTACCTGAATTACATATAAATACAAGAATGTCTACCTGAATAACAATTAAATACAAGAATTATCAATGCGTGCAAGTATGTCAACCTAAATCGTATATAATTCCAATAATGTCTACATAAATTACAAAAGTATGTGCAACTGAATCATACATAATTTCAATAATGTCTACATAAATTACAAAAGAATGTCGACCTAAATCATCAATAATTACAACAATGTCTACCTAATTTGCAAGAGTATGTCGACCGAATAATGCTTAATTACAATAATGTCGACCTAAATTACAATAGTATAGACCTAAGTCATGAACAATTACAATAATGTCTACGTATGTCAACTTAAATCAAAATTTTAATAGTATCTACCTGAAATATTAATGAAATATACTCTGTCCCATCATTCAAGACAAATTTTAAAGTCTGAAATATTTTTTAAGAACATTTGAATTATTTTTAACAAGGTTTGTAAAATTTACTATCAATATTAAAAATATAACTCCCGCTTCATTGGCCGTAGAAATGATAACAGAGACAATTTTTTAACCCCTTACTTTTAGTTTAATTTGAGCAGTTGTATTGACATGATTACATTTGATTGCCTCAGATAGCTTTGTAAATAAGATATGAAAGTCTCATAAAACTAGGCAATAAAGAAACTTAGGGACTACTGTGGACTACAAGGGACTTAAAGCCACTTCAAGGGACTACAAGGGACTCCAGGGGACTATAGGAGACTACTGCGTACTACATTATACTACAAAGGAAACCAAGGGAATGTATTCCCTTTTACTAGGGAATAATAGGGAATACAAGGGAATATTAGAAAATACGAGGGAATGCAAGGGAATGCAAGAGACTGCAAGAGAATACATGGGAATACATGTTTCTACAGGGGACTAAATGGGACTACAAGGGACTAAATGGGACTACAAGGGACTAAATGGGACTACAAGGGACTAAATGGGACTACAAGGGACTAAATGAGAATTGGGACTACAAGGGACTACATGGGAATAGGGAATATAAGGGACTACAAGGACTAAAAGGGACTACATGGGAGTCCTGAGGACTACAACGGACTACAAGGGACTACAATTGGGACTACATAGGACTACCAGGGACTAAAATTGGGACTACAGGGACTAAAAGGGCTTATAAGGATCTGCTACTCCACGGCTAGAGCTGCTACTTTATGGTTGGATCTGCTACTCTATGGTCAGAGCTACTACTCTATCGTTGGATCTCCTACTCTATTGCTGGATCTGCTACACTATGGCTGGATCTGCTACTCTGTGGTTGGATCTGCTACTCTATGGTTGGATATGCTACTCTATGATTGGATCAATGTTTAATGAACTTCTTTAAATTGATTCTAAAATCCAGAAAATTTAGATCACAGAAAAGTTGAAAAGAATGAAAAGTAAACTTTGAAGTGTTCTTTTGACGGTAAAAATTTCCAATATTGAAGAAGGATTTTTACAGACTGAGGTTTTATCGTTTATTTTGCTTTCATCATTTCCCAATAATAATTGGAAATTATAGAAACAGATATAAACAGACCTTGGACTAATAATAATGAAAGCTAGCATTTTGTAAAATCCTTGAAATATTTAAATATATTCAAGCTTTGTTTTCTGTTTTGTTTTCTATGTTATGTTGAATTTTCAAATAACACGATTACATTAAATTTAGTTTTTCTTCTTGATAAAACTGAAAAACAAGAGCTGCACTGAAATACTATGTTTCGATTACATTTAGCTTAAAGGAATTGTTTGTCTAGCGCGCGATGTAGAGTAAAGTGTGTTATTTGGTTAGAGTTAAGCTTAATTTTTAGATTTTAGAAATAATGATAATAATAATTTAGTTAGAAGGAATTTTGGTTGGTTTAACATCTTACATGCAATGATATTCGGGTTGAAAGATAAGATAACCAAATTAAGTAATTCTTTTATAACCAAATAACGCACTTTACTCTACCTTTTATATCAATCCCATTATCTCAATTCTTAATTAAATATAAGGATTATGAATTTTGGGTTTTTGGCAAAGACTCAATTACTTTATTAAAAATTAGAAACTAAAGGATTTGAGTCAAATGTTGAAGATATATAACTAGTTCTCTATACCTTTCAATATAAAGGAATCAAAGAAGGAAACTTTGTAAATACTTTAAAGGAACTGTTGACAAAATTTCAATTTTTTTAATATTTAAAATAATATAGTTTTTTTTTAGCTTTTTGAATTTTTTGACCTACTCTATCATTTCTTTGAATCCGTTACGATTTTACTAAAAAAGATTATTAAATAGATATCCGGGATAGTTGCCTTATAAACTTTATTTTTTGTAATCTATAATTACCTATACCAATGAAATTTTCAGAATTTAATGCTACAATTGTGCCTTAATTGGCAAGGAAAACCAATAATATTAAATTGCATTTAACAGCGATTAGATAACTGTTTATACTCCTTTAACTTTAAGAATTTGAGTCTTTGCTACAAACTCTGATTTTCTAATCCCTATATCTTTGCAAGCCAATGTCATAGACCTTGGATATTTCAAACTATGAATTCTGTTGGATAAAATAATTGAAGTTTGAAATATCATAGGTTTACACCGTAAGGTTGTATAGATATAGGGATTAGAACATTTGAGTGTGTGGCAAAAACTTAATTCCTTTAAAGGAAAATTAAAGTAAATCAGAGATATCCTTCATTTTTCTTACTTGTATCCTACAGGGTAGCTGCCAGCTAGTCTAAGTGAGGACATGAAAGAAACTGAAAAATGTTTCAAGAAAAATAATAAACTAAGCAAATATTTGCCGCCAAGCAAACTTTGAGGAAGATTTATTTTTAATTAAAACTTTATTCCAGAATTATTAAATATAGGGTTACAGAGGAAGAAAAAAATGTTATATAAAAACAGCAATTTTTAATGTGTTGCTGAACTTGCAACCACCCACTCTTTCCCTAGCTCTAGCTTCAATTTGTCTATTACGATGACATTTTTCCGGTGTGGTAACAGTTCACCCAATCATGTTTCACACAATCACGTTTCACCCAATAACGTTTCACCCACTTTTAGGTAAAACAAAGTTTCATCCAATTCACGGTTCATCCAATACTACGTTTCAACCAAATTATGTTTCAAAATAAATGTTCAAAATAAAAACTCTTTGAAACTCGTTGAAACTCTTTAGTAAGCGTAGTTTGGGCGAAACGTGAGTTGTGTGAAACGTAATTTGGTTGAAACGTAGTATTGAGTTAAACGTGAATCGGGTAAGACGTATTATTGGGTGAAACGTGATTGGGTGAACTGCTACCACACCATTTTTCGCAATTTCCCACTCCTATTCCCTGTTTTANCTCCCTCCTTCCTATAACCTTGTCCCCCTGTCTAGGTTTAACTAAGGGATACTAACATTGAAAAAGCCTGTGTTCAATATTGAAACTAAAAATATGAATAAACTCTGATAGAAGTTATAACGAAGGGATTCTAATATTCTAGTTGATAGAGGGAGGGGAGAGGGGGAAGGAAAGGAAAATATGGATGGTATCAAGGTAGAGAATAAAAGAGGAATAGTAGGAAGAAAATTAAGGGATGGATGGGAGTTCGGTAAAACGAGTACACCCCCGGCTCGTTTGTCCTTCTTTAAATTAAAAATAAAATTCAAGATAGACATGAATGTACGACGTTCAACAGGAACCTTCAAAGATTTTGGGTCTAAAAATTTTTCTCTATGCACAATTTGGCACCAACAGAAGCAATAGGTTTTAGCAAAGAAAAACTTAATTCATTAAAAAATTGTTCTGTTTAATATCTTCTTTCAGATTTAGAGTTTTGCATAGATGAAAAAGCCAACTTTTTAACACTCAATTTTAAAAGTTAGAAAAACTTTGCAGATTTTTGAGAAGGAAAATAGAAAAAATAAGTTCTAATTAAAGAACGTGGAAAAACTATGCCTAAGGTGACTTTGCAACTTTGTAAATATGTAATAAAGGTCATTATGTGATAATGTGCTGTGTTGCTATGGAAGCTACAATTTGGTTGCAGGATGCTAAAATTGGTGAGAAAACTGTCAAAGATTCTCCAGGCACTAATCAGGATAAACTATAAACATATTCCGGCTCTACTCTGCTCCAGGGTTTAAACTCCAGGACAAACTAAACATATTCCGTTCTACTCTGCTCCAGGGTTCAAACTCCAGGATAAACTAAACATATTCTAGTTCTACTTTGCTCCAGGGTTCAAACTCAAGGATAAACTAAACANACTCCAGGATGAACTAAACATATTCCGGTTCTACTCTGCTCCAGGGTTTAAACTCCAGGATAAACTATTAACATATTCTAGTTCTACTCTGGTCCAGGGTTCAAAACTCCAGGATAAACTATAAACATATTCTAGTTAAACTCTACTCCAGGGTTCAAACTCCAGGATGAACTAAACATATTCCGGTTCTACTCTGCTCCAGGGTTTAAACTCCAGGATAAACTATAAACATATTCTAGTTCTACTCTGCTCCAGGGTTTATACTCCAGGATAAACTAAACATATTTAAGTTCTTCTCTGCTCCAAGGTTCAAACTCCAGGATAAACTAAACATATTCTAGTTCTACTCTGCTCCAGGGTTTAAACTCAAAGATAAATTATAAACATATTCTAGTTCTACTCTGCTCCAGGGTGTAAACTCCAGGATAAACTAAACATATTCTAGTTTTACTCTGCTCCAGGGTTTATACTCCTGGATAAACTATAAACATATTCTAGTTCTACTCTGCTCCAGGGTTCAAACTCCAGGATAAACTAAACATATTCTAGTTTTACTTTGCTCCAGGGTCCAAACTCCAGGATAAACTATAAACATATTCTAGTTCTACTCAGCTCCAAGGTTTAAACTCCAGGATAAACTATAAACATATTCTAGTCCTACTCTGCTTCAGGGTTTTAGTCCCTGGATATACTGAACATATCCTAGAGTCCTACTCTGCTTCAGGGTTTAAACTCCAGGATATACTGAACATATTCCCCGACTACAGTATACTTAGAAGATCCCTTATAAAAATAACCCTCTCCAACCCTAAAGTGTAAAACATGCAATAATAAAAACATTCAACTTTTATGTTGGCGTAAAGAAACGTAAAAAGAAAAGTCTTCTGATGGATCTCCAATAAAACTAATAATTAAAAATACTATTGTAATAAGCCTTTAATACTAGAACGATAACATCTTTTAAAATCACTTTTCCTTTGAATTTAAGAAATTGCAATTTTTAATAAAAAGTAGTTTAATAAGTATCTTAAAGTGGAAAAAAGCAGAAAAACTATTTTCTAATGAAAAAAGGATATCCTTGTGTTTAATAAAACACCTGCTGGCAGGTTATTTATAACTCAGATATCTGTTATAGATATCGTCTTTCTTTCTCCCTTTCTTTTTTCCCCTCCCCGTTCTTCCTTCCTCCATCCCACCCCCATCACCCTCCGTCCTTTTTCCCTTTTCTTTTTTCCTATTTTCTCTATTTCTCTATCTATTTATCTATTCATCTTCTATCTTTATTATAAAAGGCTTCCTTGTTAGAGGCAATCTGTGTGAAAAATATTTTTAACATCGGATTTGGTGAGAAAAATACTATTTCATTGGAAATAGTTATAGTCCTCTGACGTCATCATGTTGCCTCATTCAAAATAAACTTATTTACAAACATATGCTGATTATACTAAAGCAATGAGATACACAGAAAAACATGCAATTATAGAGATGATAAGGTTCACTTTTTCTTGATGGAAAATAATCTTGGATGATTATCATTTGGGAAAATTAGCACGATTTTCATATAGATAGGAAAATACATTGTGATTTGTTATTCATAATCTTAGGTTATCTTACTCATTGAACTGTACAGTTGATAATCTTTCTGCGAGCCTATTGTACATTTTGAAAAAGAAATAAAAACATTAACAAAAATTTCGCAGATTTTCCTGATTTCATTGGCGACTTTTCAAAAAAAAAAATTGTCGAAAGTATTTTG